TTCATCAGTTAGATTCGTCTTCCATTATTTCCCATAAATTTCGAAAACATGTATAACATGCAGTTGTACAAATCGATCATATTAAAATGGTTGATGAGAGACTTGAAATCAGAGAGGAACATGGTTCTTGTTGATATTTGTAAAAATATAATCGAACTGAGTTGATTACACGCGAATGCTTTCATTTTCAGCCACAACCTGTTGTCTGCTTGCGTATGATGCAACGGTGTATACCCGCTTATGCAGATGAATTTTTGTACGAGAAATATGCATCCAGTGCCGGACTTTGAAACGGAATTTCTGTATAAATTTGTGAGAACTTAAGGTTTACTGCTACATTGAAGACTTAGCCTTACAAATGCCAGACAAATGTTAAAATATGTAAATAAAACATGTTGGGGCTTCAGAACTTGAGCTTCAAAAGGAAAGGCATTTTGTCCGCGAAGGGCGGATCAGAATACTTTCCAGTGAGTATCTTTGACGAAACAAACTGGTTCGCAGCTTCGGTGTAATGAATTCCATCCCAACTAATGTAATCAGAACTATCGGTGCATCCTTTTGCTGTGACAATTGTTCCGTTCAAGGTCTTCGTTTGTCCACAGGTAATCTGACTGTCATAGTTCAACGGTGGACCTCCATACCCGCAGCAAGCCATAATAGGTTGTTCAAATCCTGCAGATACAATTGATAAAAAAAAAATATGAGATGATTAAAACAGAAAGTAACTACGCATATTCGGTATAATTCACAATGAAGAATTTTAAGGTCCTCAGATGTACAAACCATTTTTCGAATAATTTGATATGAGCTCAGATTTGATCGAAAAGATATCAACATAAATGACACTTGCATCCGAGTACTGGCCTTGCAACTTTTTGGTGAGGGCATGAAGCTGCAGGTTAAAGAGTTTAGCAGCTTGGTTGTGGTCGCTGACGCATCCTTGTTCGTCAAGCTTCGATGGATCAGTTCCAAACTTGGCAACATTCTGCGTCAAGCACCCGAGAGGACCCGTGTTGTGTATCCAAAAGTTCCTACCTCCTTGGTCATATAATCTCTGAAAAAAAAAAAACAATGAATGTTAGGTGGATGTCATCCTTCAATTCAAATTATTGATCATCCTTGTTGTGATGATGTACTGACCTTTATTCCTGTTTCGAATTCTGTCAAAATCATTGGAATGGAAGCGAGAATCTGATCCAATGATTTCGAATAAAATGCACCAGCGAGATCATTCTGGCCTATATCGAACATGTAGAGCCCCTTCGCGAAAAAAACTTCCGCGGGCAGATACTTGGGAAAGCTCCTACCTCTAGCTAGCAATTCAAGAACCTTGGCTTTGAATCTAAAAAACTGGGAGACCTGGACCCCGAAAGAAAACGGGCTGATGGATGTTGCAGTTGCTGGAAGTATAGTTGACCCTGCCGCGGCAAAGTTGCAACCCTTTTTGAATATTGGCAGGCCAACGGAATCCAGATAGGCATTGAGAAATGGAAGCTGCATTGCATTCACTGCAAAACGTTATACACAAAACATAAGGACACGTTCATCACAAAAATGTACAAGTGCTAAGACCATAGACTTAGAAATATATGTATGAATTAAATGCGGTAGAACAAAGCTAGGAGGGAACAAAATTGAAAAGTTACAAAGAAAATCAACGATGAGGCGGCCATCGGAGTATCTCCCAGATGGGGTTTTGAAATAAGATTGTCCATAAGGAGGAAGAATGCTCTCAATGCCGGCGGAAACAAGATTGCCAGTGTCGGAATTCGAATCGCCAAAGTTGAAAACGGCAGGGTGGTTGAAGTGGATGGATTTGGAAAGAGGTAAGGAGATGGAAATCAATGTGAGAATTTGAATGACGCAGGCTTTGGCAGCCATGGAAAATGCAACAGGTTACTTCTTAGGCTGTTGCTTTCACTTAATGAAGCCTTTGACGATACGTTTTTGACCATACGTTTTTGTTTGGTGAGCTGTTGTGGGGCTCAAGTGTAAGTTGGTGGTCTGCTTTCACATGTGGAAAGCCAAAGGGCCAAGACAAAAGTGATATTAAATTTATGGGAATGAGGATTCGAACTGACATGCAAGAGATGAGTGTACTGTCTTAACCAACTGACTTATGTCTTGGAACAATACCTATAAACGTTTACATGTGTAATATAAAAATGTGAAAATGGGATAAACCGTTGTGGGGTAAAGAAAAAACATTGCAAAAGTGAGTTGTGAGAAATTTACTGAGAAAATCTATGACGAGACGGCCATGACAAAACCTCCCAGATGGAGTTTTGAAGAAAGACTGTCCATATGGTGGTGGGAGCTGGAAATCAGCCGGCAGCAAGCACGCTGTGTCGGAGTTTGAATCGCCGAAGTTGAAAGCGGTGGGGTAGTAGAACTTGGTTGAGTTTGAAGAAGGTAGAAAAATGGAAAATAAGGTGAAAATTTGGAGGGTCGAAGTTTTGGTAGCCATGGATGAAGAGACTTGATGTTCACGGATGTGTTAATTAAGTACCAACCACCAAAACACAGTGATGCATCATGTGTCGTATGGGGCCAAGTTTATGAGCATAGTGAAAGCTTAAAAAGTTTGATTTGACTTTTGGCATTCCTCGTGTAATTATCTGAATTTTAAATTGAATATTTTATTGGAGAAGGTTAATTAACACATTAAACGAAACGTAATATGAAAATGATTTTTAATTTACACACTTTTACTTTCCTTACACATCTATAATTATTCATGATCGTTGAATTAAATAAATTTGAAAGAATAAAAAAAGAAATAAACATAAGTGTGCAAGCGAAGAAAAAATGCGTACAAATTATGTTTCCATGTAATATATGTGCATGTATAATTTAGACAAATACACCTCTGTTCATAATCTATACTAACGAGTCCCTTAGGGGACATCTGATAAAATTGGAAGTTGCATGTGGTCTACTATCTTAGTGGATAAGATTTTGGGTTTTTACCTAGGCATCTCTTGGGTTCGAAACTCTTCTTTCTTAATTATGGTAATAATTTTGACCCCTTCCTTTAATAATAATAAATTTAAAAAAATAATCTACACTGACTGAAAAAATTTTAAACTTAAAGCTAAAAATAATTTAAAGCTTATTTAGTAATTTAAATCCACTTTCGCAAACATATTTTTTTCTCTCCCAGACAAATAAGCTTAGTTCTAATAATACTTACAAATAAGATGATAATGTAATATCATCACTATAGATATGTGTATGTTCATAATTTGAAAATAATTCTCCTACAAATATAAAATTAGAGTAGAAAACTTGTGTCGAGTTTTATGCGGAGAAAATTGAATTTAAAAGGTTAAAGTCATATTTTCAATATAATATTATAATGCATGCACGAGATACATAGAAGTTTGTCATCACCCGCAAGTAGTGCATGTGAGTAATAAGCCCAGAAACTTACTCAGAAAATCTACGATCAGACGGCCATCGGAAGCCCTCCCCGATGATGACGGAGGATTGAAGTAGGTCTGTCCATAAGGCAGCGGAAGGTTGAAACCAAGCCCAGCACCAAGCTCCCCGGTGTCGGAGTTTGAATCCCCGAAGTTGAAAACCGCCGGATAGCTGAACTTTATCGAACTGGCAGCCGGTAAAGCAGTTGCCAGCAAGGCGAACATTCTGAGAATAATGTAGTTCTTGGCAGCCATGGATGTTGAAATATGAAAGCTTAGGACAGAGAAGCTGCAATGTGATTGAAGCATTGTGCATGTGAGTGTGAATTTATAGGGTTGTTTTGGGTAATGTACCGGAAGTTTTCTTTCCTAATTTTTGGTGGAAAGCAAAGTTTTCCTTTTTCTTGCCCAAAAAAGGTGTTTCCTTTGAGTTTCGGAAATGCAAATATTGCCAAAAAAGCAAAGTTTAATTGTTCAATTACGATTCTGCCATTCATGCATTCCAATTAGCCACATCTAAATGTACGGACACAGCTATATGTGGCTAATTAGTCCCCGTAATAAGAAGGCTTCTAAGGGTGTATTTGGAATTTTGAAGAACCAGATGGGATTCTTTACTACTTGAAGCAAGAACTACATGAGGACCTTATAGCAAGCAAGGGCTCAAAACTTGTATTTTTGAAAACGTCTAAAAAAACTTTTTTTTTTGTTTTATCCTAGAGAGAGTTCGAAACTATTACAATAATTTAAGAGAGGGAAATTTCGAACCTAGGATAATGGGTAGAAATAACACCATATCTACTAAGATATTGGACCACATACTTATTTTTTCCTTTCTTTGTGATTCATCTAAGATTTTGTTTCCAAGTCCCATTAGACCAAACATCTAAAGATGTGTGTTCTTCCGAAAGCTCAATACAATGTGTCCGCTCTCTTGCATTAACAATTGGATAGTGCTATTTACATATTCTTTTTTATCTACCGCCCAACCTTGTACTTTTTGTCCACTAATCTTTTTTAATTCATTCAATCTGATTTTGAAAATTGAAAAAAGTTTGTAAAGAGGTAAAAATAGGAATATGGATACCACCACCCTAAAAATTAATGCCCATCTTTGTAAACTAGAGTGATAATGTTGCCCTGTAAAAATAGATTGTTGATGCCCATCTTGACCTCACTCTTTTTTTTTTTCCACAAATGTTCATGCATTTGGCTTAACGGGTGTCGACCTGGCAATTTTTAATAGTTAATCTTACATGTTTAACCAGGTGACGCTTTTATCAAAAAATTTCTCATTAAATTGTAATTCAATTTTATGTTGAATATAATATGAAAATGCTAGTCTCCTCATTGTTTTCTTTCTATAATTATCTTCTTGTTGCTTTATTTGTGTTCGTTAATGAATTCGTGTTAGTGTTAAGTAAAGATTTGTGAGTAGTGATGATAGGACCGAGTTGAAATGATCAGACCAAATCGAGTCAAATTGACCAGACCGAACCGAATACAGGTTAATGTTTTCAGTTATAAGAGTTTGAATAAAACTGAACCGGACCAAACCACCTTTGGTGGGGTGGGATAAACGATGTCGTTTTACTCTGTTTTGCTTGTAATTAAAACCTGTGCTTCCATGGCGGGTAGTTGATTCCGCAGCCCAACGGACATTCCTAAAACCCTAGAATCTCCAACCGTAAAATGACGGCCACGGCGGAGCACGACCTCCTCCATCCTTCAACCCCTCCGTGTCTCCACTTGCTCTCAGCTTTCCTCGCCATGGAGCCCACCGACTCCCTCATCGCCTTGGCCCGGTAACTCCCCCGGCGCACGTTAACACAACGCCTTACTATCCAGACTTAAGAGCACCGATTGCACCAATTTTTGAGCTTTACGCGCTATTCGGTGCACTTTAGCGTATGGTGGCGCAAGCTAGCACCTTCTTCTTCTTGTTTCTGAATACCTTGTATTTGTGAATTTTGCAGGGAATGCGGCGGAGGGCGGGTTACTGAGAGAGTGCAGAGGTTCATTTGGGATCATTGCATGGGTAAAAATGTAATTTTCTATGCCCTCTACTTATTGCATAGTTTGTAATTACATATTTGAATTGTTATACTTTGATTGCTGAGAAATTTGGGGGAAAAGAATCGATTTTTGTTCTTTTAGTTGATTGTTTTAGTACTAGTGAAGCAATTCAGTGTGGAAGTTCTATCATTTGTGGCGTGTTTGTGGCGTGTCCGATTGGGTGTGGCGTGTTTGTTTTGGGTGGAATCGAATTCCTATGTTGGAAATCTTACTTTTCGAATTTCTTAAGTGTAAATTTTGGCTCAGTTGAATGCTCAACGCAGGCTGGGAAATTACACGCACCGTACCTGAAGAAATTTCTGAAGAAGCTTATTGCCGAAGTTGAGTTGAACTGCGGAGATGTGTTGGATGAGCTATACGAGCATTACGCCCATTTCATGACTTCCTTGAAGGTATAGCTGATGTGCAATGTTTGAAGAAGCTGTGCATTTACGTTATTCGCTTGTTTTCAAGTGGAATTAACAAGCTGTTTTGTTCATTAGGACAGTGATCTTGAAAGAGACAATGCAAGGGTCTTCAAATCCATTTCGTTTCTGTTTCCCGATGGTATAATTCATGTGATGTTGGTTTATTATGGAGTTTGTCATTCTTGATTAGCATGTTGATTCAATGACTTTGTACCTCTAGGTTGTTTGGAACTTACAAGTTGTCCTGAGTCGCGGAAGCTGATGGTTCCCCTGCAATGTTCGCTCAACATGCTTGAAGGAGATACCGGGTATGCTTAATCGTTGATATCTTTTAGACTTTTATCTTCTAGTTGATATGCAGTACCTTATTTTCTGTGTTACGTTTTCTACGTGCACAGTATACAAGAATTTGACAAGTTTTAGCATTTTACATTTTTTAATTGGTTTGTACTAGTTCATAATAATCACTTCATTTTGTTATTACAAAGGGTTAATTATTATTGGCTAGTTTTAATGCAGGTGTTCAGTTTGGCCGTCAAGTCTTTATTTATCAGAGTGTATACTTTCGTTTCCCGACTTATTTACTAATAAGTCGTGCTTTGAGGTAAGTTCAATTTTCTAGCATTCATCTCATCGAGTTGCATAAATGGCCTCTCCATAAATGGGGGTAAGGCTAGCCGACATTCACCTCTCCCAGACCCTGCGTAAAGCGGGAGCCTTGTGCACTGGGTACGACCATCTCATCGAGTTGCACAAACAGATTATTCGTTACATGAAGGGAGCCATGATAATCCAAGAGCTGGCTGGCTTTGCTGTTGCCTGTTCAACTGATGTCTGAAATAATCAGCTAAATTATGTTTTGTGGGAAAAGTATTCTTGCTAAGCTAGTTATTACCTTTTGTTTCTTTTTTAAAGCACATTTCTTGTTCTTTCCGTGCACTTTTATTCATGGATTTTGTTGTAGTATATTTGCTATGATGGCCTACGTGCATGTTACATGATTATATTGTTTACTGTGAATAGGTTGGCTCGGGTGTTGGTTTGGTTGGTATCTGTCTTGCCCATGTCAAGGCATCGAAGGTATGTTATCCAAATTTGAAAGAAGAGGAAAGCATTCTCCTTTTATAGTACCATTAGATTTTTCATGAATAATCAGCAAAAGGTCTAGGAGAATTTCTGTTCTTTCACCGCACACATGAATTATTTTAAAGTGATACATTATTGTCGGTGACATTGTGGATTCAATTAGGACCGAGGGTGATTTAACATGATATTTTCAGTCTTTTAATATTAAACACATACCTACCAACAGACACATGTATCACTAATTATAATAAGGCAAATGGCGTCGGTATTCAGCTGAGGAAAGTTTGTGTTGGATATAGGTGATCCTAAGTGATGGTGACCTGTCAACTTTAGCAAACATGATGGTCAATCTGGAATTGAACCACATTAGCGTTGAAACTAATATGTCAGAAACTACCGAAGATCCGTATATGGTGAGTCACTTACCATGATTTCACTCTAGTTGGTAAATGAATGGAATTGACGGGGAATGAAAATTGCTCGACTTGTAATACCATTAAATTATAATAATCTTAACAAACTCAGGTAAAAACCGTAAAATGCCTTCATCTACCTTGGGAGTCTGTCTCAGAGAGTGAGCTTCAGAACCTCAAGCCAGACATAATGTGAGTATTTCTTTCATGAGACTGCAGACTTCAACTACCAACGCTTACCCCTATCAAAATTTAGACTACTTTAATTCCTTGCTACGTTAATCAAAGTTTTGAGATAGTGATATGTGATAAAGTTAGATTATTTCGGGATGCTGCAGTTTTGTTTAGTTATTTTGCTAGAAAGCTATGCTAATTTGAGTAATTTCCTTATTTCTCATTCAACAGTTTGGGTGCAGACGTAATTTATGATCCCATATGCCTCCCTCATCTTGTTCGAATACTTGCTTTACTTCTAAACCAGATGAAATTGGAAAGTAAAGGTGCTGATGGTAGCGTCAATGGATATCGTCAAGGGAATGGCAATGGCGATAAATTTGATGCTTTCCTAGCCAAAAGAACAGATAACAGTGCCACAAATGCTGGATCAAAGAAAGGTTCGATGGCTTTTATCGCTACTGTCATCCGCACTATTGACACATTCGAAAAATTTTGTGCTTTGTTGGACTCGGCTAACCTTATCATCAAAGACGTAACTGAAACACTTCGGCCTTCGAATTTGCTTCCGTACATGCAGTCATATGATCGAACCGCTGTTCGGCTGTTTGCCATCTCATGTAAATAGGCTATTTGAACTTCTAGTTAGGCACATTGTTGCTCAACGGCTACAAATGTACGGCATGTTCCCGCGATTTGAAGATTTTTGTTGTAAAAGTTGTAAGATTTGTTAAACTTGTAGGGTGCGTTTGTTGTACTGGACTGTCTTGCACTGGACTAGTTGCAGGGGCTAAGCTGGACTGGCTTAGACTAGACTAAGTTGGACTAACTTAGGTCCAGCTTAGACTAGACTAAGTTGGACTAATTTAGGGAAACGTTTGGTGCAGTGTCGGACTAATAATCAAAATAATAAAAAATAATTCTCTTTTTTCTTTTTTTTTTCTTTTTCTTTCTCTTTTTTCTAGTCAACTGCATTCCTTCTCCCGAAAACAAATGAACTCTGTACATATATAATTGTGCACCAAATGGATCCAAAAAACAAAAATTGTGCCCTAATTTCCCTATCTAGAATCTTCTTCTCTCTCTCGAAAGTTGCAGAAGGAATTTGGTATGCAGAGCACCCTTGGGTTTTGGTTATTTCCTTTTGGATTTGAGGCCACAAAATTTTCTTATCAAATCTGGGTTTTGCAAAGATTCAAACGAACTTGGTTTTGCAATTTGAATCTGGGTTTGCAATTCGAATATGGGATTTGCAATTCGTGTCTGGGTTTTGCGATTCAAATATGGGTTTTGCAATCTTAGCGAATCTGGGTTTTGTGATTCGAGCGGATTTGTGAAGATGTGCAGATGTGTGCAAAGAGAGGACGTTATGGTTGCAGAGAAGATGAAGTTGTAGTCGCAAAGAAGAAGAAGCTGGGGTTGCAGAGAGGACGCTAGCAGAGCAACGGGAGTAGGACGAAGTAGGCCTTAGCTAGTCCTGTGGTTTTCGGGGACTCTCGCTAAGAATTGCTAGCGATGCCGTTTAGTCTGGGCGAGTCCCAGCTAATCTCATTAATATTAGTCCCTCATCACAACAAACGCTGGACTACACTAAAAGCTAATCCAGTCTAGTCGGACTAGACTAAGTTGGACTAACTTAGGTCCAGCTTAGACTAGACTAAGTTGGACTAATTTAGGGAAGCGTTTGGTGCAGTGTCGGACTAATAATCAAAATAATAAAAAATAATTCTCTTTTTTCTTTTTTTTTTCTTTTTCTTTCTCTTTTTTCTAGTCAACTGCATTCCTTCTCCCGAAAACAAATGAACTCTGTACATATATAATTGTGCACCAAATGGATCCAAAAAAAAAAATTGTGCCCTAATTTCCCTATCTAGAATCTCCATCTCTCTCTCGAAAGTTGCAGAAGGAATTTGGTATGCAGAGCACCCTTGGGTTTTGGTTATTTCCTTTTGGATTTGAGGCCACAAAATTTTCTTATCAAATCTGGGTTTTGCAAAGATTCAAACGAACTTGGTTTTGCAATTCGAATCTGGGTTTGCAATTCGAATATGGGATTTGCAATTCGTGTATGGGTTTTGCGATTCAAATATGGGTTTTGCAATCTTAGCGAATCTGGGTTTTGTGATTCGAGCGGATTTGTGAAGATGTGCAGATGTGTGCAAAGAGAGGACGTTATGGTTGCAGAGAAGATGAAGTTGTGGTCGCAAAGAAGATGAAGTTGGGGTTGCAGAGAGGACGCTAGCAGAGCAACGGGAGTAGGACGAAGTAGGCCTTAGCTAGTCCTGTGGTTTTTGGGGACTCTCGCTAAGAATTGCTAGCGATGCCGTTAGTCTGGGCGAGTCCCAGCTAATCTCATTAATATTAGTCCCTCATCACAACAAACGTTGGACTACACTAAAAGCTAATCCAGTCTAGTCCAATGAAACTTAGTGAAGCCAAACAAACGGGCCCATAAGGTACTTTTAAAGGTTGTAGGGTTTTTTTTCTTGTTCAAGTGGCACACAAATTTGGGAGAATTTCTTGGGTGCGTGTGACACTATCGTCTCACCTATACGCCCAAGACACGACAAATCTCACCTAGTAGCAATTATTCCATGCAGCTGTCCATATGTGGCAAGTAGGGTGGGACCACGAGGTGGACCAAGTGCTGACAAAATACAATCAGCTCTTGTTTTGCTAATGTGGCCCCATGAACACGTAGTTTGGTAGTCGCACATTCTGACCCCACACGATAAGTGTTTCGGCCTAACAATCATGGTATGGATGTTTAGACCCAAGAACTCCTCTTAAATACAAAGAGAAGAACTTATAGGGTGCGTTTGTTGCACCGGACTGTCTCGGACTGGACTAATTTCAGGAGCTAAGCTGGACCGGCTTCTACTAGACTAAGTTGGACTAGTTTAGTGAAGCGTTTGGTGCAGTGTCGGACTAAGAAATAGGATAAGGAAAACAGTGTTGTCACCAGTTTGGTGTTTGCTCATACTAGGACTACATTATTGTTCTATATTAATTTCTTTTGACACGCCCCAACCCTGATATTCCCCAAATACCAGGATGGGCACGTGATGACCGACACCTGTGGGTGACGAAGCCATTTTTAACATGCATAGCGATTAAATATGTAATTAGAACAAATTAAACCAAAGCAGAATCATGTTCAGAGCATACAACTACTTAAGAATAATGTGAAAGAATTATAATATAAGGTACGAATAAAGGAATGAGTCATATACTGAGAAGACTCGGAGATGCCTAAGCAGAAGTGCTCTTATGCTGGGATCATGTACCTTGATCCTAACTCCTGAGGGAGCGCAAAAAACAAAAAAAATGAGTGGACCAAAGTTTATAATAATAGTACTAATAATAAAATTAAAAAAAAACCATTTTCTTTATGAACATAGTAACCCCCTGTTTTGAAAACACATATATAATACTACATAGTAGTTTTTATAAAAAATCATAGCATGCCATGAAAAACATTCATAAAACATCTGTAAATCATATCCACGATGCACTCAACTAGGGGTATCATAGTCACCCGAAGGCAGTACTTGTCCATTACCCGAAGGTGAAGCTGAATAACTTGTCCATCACCTGAAGGTGAAACTGTATAAAATAGCATATATCCACACCGACACTGCTTTCGGCAGTGAAACTGAGGGTATATAATATATCATATCTCACTCATCCATCATCTGTGTCTTATGGCCATAGACATCTATACCCGTGGTGTGTGGATGTGCCGTATGATAACCCACTAGGTAAGTACCAAAACATATCTTAAAATCTCGTATCAAACATCAATGCTCAAAAGTTCAAACCTCATCTCATAAATCCATGACAAACCATAATCATAAATCCATAATAAACATATACGTGAATCCATAGAATTTCATAAATGAAAATCCAATGATTCTTAACCTTTAGTTATACATAAATCTGATAAATCATAATTATTCTGTAAAAGCAATTTAAATCAATCATAAGTATGAAAATCCGTAAAACATATTATAAATCATGCTCCATTCATAAAATATGCAATGCATGCTAGGCTAAAATTTTATAAAAATATATAAGTTAAGAAAGGGTCCACTCAAATATTTTATTACCCGAGAACCGCTCGAACTAGCGAGGAGGACGTCGCTTCCTGCCAACACGCCTAAACACAATAAGAGACCTTTTAGTAAAACTATACCTAAACGATAGAATTTGGGAAACGGACCGTGGATTCGGATTTGGCATGTTGGAAACCCTAAAGAGGGACCTAGGTATCCCCCCATGCGCCACTGCATGAGCTGCCACAAGGCAGCGGCCCAGAAGGCCACATGCCGTCGCGACTCGCTGGAAAATTCAACAACTCTAAAAATTTCCAAATTTAACAGGCAAGTAGATCTCCATGAGGGGAACAACTTTTATACATGGGCTAAAGTCCAATTTGGCCAGGAAATGCCTAAAATCGCCCTTGGGCCGTCGGAAACCCTAGAAATAAGTGTGCTTTGATTTGACTTCTCCGGTGCTTTGCTACCTCCAAGGTTGTTTGGGGTTTGTTCTTGGCCTCTAAATGAGTGGTTTGGTGGTGGTAGTGGTCGACGTAGCTTTCAGGACCGGTGAATCTCCGTCGTGGCACCCCAGGAACCCACGGGTTCCGTTCTTCACGAATTCAAGGTTAAACCTAGTGAAATTTGGTTGGAAATGGAAGATGGAAGGTCATGGAATGTTTTCCAGGTGGTGGATGGCGGCAATTTGACGGGAAAACCTATGAAAATCACGTCAGAGTAGTTGCGGAACGAGTCGGGTCAGCGGGGAGGAACCGGATCAAGGGTGATCTGGTGCTCCTCCACTCTCTCATTTCCCCTCATTTCTCTCTTCTGATTCGTCCCTTCCATTTCTCTTTCTCTCCCCATTGGCCTAACCTCCCTCATTTTCTCCCCTTCTCTTACGTCCATTTCTCTCATTTCTTTCCTCCACTCATCATCACAATCATCCACATGGTTCAATCAGATTGTTCTAGAAAAGCTGGAGCCTTCTAGAGTGATTGTTAAATTTACTAAAATGCCCCCTACTTTAAATGTTAATATCTCCTTTGTTATAACTCCAAATTATGTTCCGTTTGCGCCCACTCATTCGTAGCAACGAGTACTACGAGGATATGCTAAGAAAATGGATCTTACGTGACACAACAAGACGGTCAACAAAAGCCAACACATTTACCTCGAAGGGCATTTTTCGTAATTTCACATTTTAAAAATTATAAAAACCATAAATTTTGGGACGGGTCATTACAACTTTTTTTTCTTCTGGAATTCAGAAATTCATAAGATGAAGGCAATACTAAATGCAATCAAATACATCAAGGCCGGCAAGTTCAACCAATTGTTTAATCAAAATCTCTAATCAAAATCTCTAAACACAAAATACTCAATTAATTGAGCACACACCATGAACAACAACATAAAACACAAGAATGATTTCCACTTGAAAGATTCTTGCACTATATCAAAAACCCAAAAATCAAAATCTTCAAATAAGAAAAGATTTTACATTCAGTTCCTCAAGCTCTGAATTGATGAAAACACAAAAACCCACCAGACTACCAAAGCCAAAACTGATAATCCCAAAAATAAAAAATTGCATAAAACTCTCATTTTTCCTCTGCTACTTCAAGAATCTGTAGACAAAAAGAACAACAACAATTCAATTTCTCCTTCTTCAAAGTTTACATCTTTGATTTTGTTTCGAATAAGAAAAAAGAAAAGGATGAGGAGGTGGAAGAGATAGCCTTGAGTCGCTGCTTGCAGGAGGAAGAAAGGCTGGACTGGAGACAACGAGAAGCTTGTCGTTGAAGTCGGTCAATCCCTTTAAAACCCCTGCATCGCCCCTACAGAATTATGAGATCGTTTTGCTGAAGACGTCGTCGATCTGCTACTGCGGCTGTTGATGTATGAAGGACGAGATCGATTCGTCTGAAAGACAACATGATGAGATTGATGAAAGCCCGCAGATGAATAGAGGGGTGAAGCGAAGCGGTCTTAACATCCGACTATTTTTGGAAGGACCCACTATGAACCTCTAGTGAGGGCCTTAGTCGAGGCGAGTGCCTCCTAATCCTAAAGTTAATCCTTCCACCAAACAAACTTGGGAGTTAAGGCAAACAAACACACCCATATTGTACATATATACTGTTGTAGTGACATCTCGGTCAATGGTACAAAGACAAGTGGAGAGAAACTAACAAGTCTTTATACTCTTGGCATGAAACGCCACCACGATTATGTGTTTGTGTCACAAAACCTTCTCCAAACATTCAGTGTGGATTATAGTCTTGGCATGAAAGGCCGCCATAACAGTCTATCTGTGACATATAAATCCTTTTCCAAGCATTCTCAAAATGGATTTTAGTTTTGGCATGAAACGTCACCATGACAATATATATGTATCATACAAAACTTTCTCCAAAAACTCTCACTATGGATGATTCGATAGCCAAACCCAAGAATTTCTCCACCAAACTTATCCACCCACCAAGTTAGGTTATGATTCTCACTTTATTAACTTTCTTATCTTTATTTGACCGTTTGGTTTTGCAGTCTTCATGTTCATCTGAAATTAGTTACGTGAAAATTATTATTTTTCATTGTAAGTAGTGTATTGTCTTGATGATTAGTCTTTCTCTTAACTCACTAATTCACTGTGCTTGAATTCAGACACTCATCTTCTCATAAGGTAAATTAAATCCATATTATCGCTTTTATTCAAAATAATAAAAATATTATTTCTATAAATAAACACAAGTGTTTCCATTAGAAACATATTGAATTCTTTCAATAAAAGTTTTAACAGCTTCTTGAAAGAGCAATTTGAAGTGCTTTTCAAAAAGTACTTCCAAGGCCCAAAAACATTTTTGTCATTTAAAATCAAACAAAATCAAAAGTGTTCTTAATTATTTAAAAGGGTAACCCAAAAGCAATTCCAAAGTAAGTTCAAATCTCATGTACAGGTAAACAGTAAATAGTAAAAAGAGATGAACTTTTAAGTATTTATTACATAATTCTCAGTTTACTAACAGTAACTCCAGCAGACAACATCGAGATAAGATGCAAGAGCTGACTTTCCAGTCCTGTCTGTTTTCCTTTGACAAAATCTAGGTAAATCTAGACCATCCAGTTCCAATCAATCAGTTTTCAAGTTGCAGAGCTGTCAGCTCTACATGCAGCCATTTGCTCAGATTCTCAAAGCTTCAAAATCCCAATTAATCCCTCAAAAAGTTTGTGAATTTTGATTTTAGTCCGAATCATTTCACCATGGAAGAGCTCAAGAACCGAGCAGAAGCTGAAGTGGAAGTGATCCACATGTGGGCAGCTCCAAGATCACTGTCGACCACCCTCATGTATTCTTTTGCTCAGGTGCCCTCCAATTTCTTCAATATTCTCTTCTGGGTTCTGTAAGGCCTTGATTGGGACTGCTTCATTAGAAAGCAGTTCTGCTCTTAAGTGATTTTTTCCATAAGTATTTTTTCTATAAGCGCTTGTGCTACAAGTGTTTTTTGGAGAAGCATCTAGCAGTGTCAGGTTGTAAGTGCATTTACGACCCAAAAGCACCGTTAACGTTTTCTGCCAAACCCAGTCAGAAGCATTTTTGGTTGCCAGGAAACGCTTTTAGCTCTTGAAGAATCAATCCCAAATAGGCCTAAGAAACTGCAATGTTAAAGATCGTGTCTTTTTTTTTTGCAGAAGAAAACCTAAATTTTGGGCTTTTAGTAATCGAGACTTGTATTTTTGTATTGTTTTGTTTTGTGTTTAGAGGGATGACATGGAAGTGCTTGATGAACCACTGTATGCAACTTTCCTGCAAGTGACAGGTTTTGACAGGCCCTACAGGGAGAAAGTTCTATCCAAAATGGTAAGTCAGTAAAAAATTTCATCCCTAATTACAAGTTTATTTGCTGTTGTAAGACTAAATTTACTTAAGTTATTTACTTTTTACTCTTTATTTGGTAATATCTCAATTGGTTTTTATGCTTTGGTTGATTGTAAAAGTTTGTGAATTTGTCGAATTTTGCTGTCTTGCGTTGGTTATATAATTTATCGAAGTGTGGAGTACTTGGATCTAATGGAAGACAATAGAATTTTACGGCTTAATTTTCATGTATTCCATATTCTGAATAAATAGTACATACAATCCTTGTTACAAAAGAAAACAAAGTAAATGACACAATATCCTTCCTAAAACATGACTCTAATAATTACAAGATATTTACATTCCTTTTCTTCTAAATATTGACTTATTCCAATACTCCCCCTCAAGTTGGAGCATAGATATTACTCATGCCCAACTTGACAAGTGAATTACCAAATCTTCTACTACACACGGCATGGGTAAGGATATCTGCAAGTTGTTCTTCTGAGTTCACAAACGGTATTGACACAATCTTTTTCTCCAACTTTTCTTTGATAAAATGTCTATCAACCTCAATATGCTTAGTCCTGTCATGTTGTACTGGATTCTCGGCTATTTCCCTGGCGGACTTATTATCACAATACAACTTCATTGCCTCCTTCTGCTTAAAACCAAGACTCCAAAGTAACTTTCGTAGCCAAAGAATCTCACACACACCATGTGCCATACCCCTATACTCGGCTTCGGCAGAAGACCGTGATACCACATTCTGCTTCTTGCTTAACCACGTAACCAAATTACCTCCAACAAAAGTAAAATACCCAGATGTAGACCGTTTATCAGTCACATCACCTGCCCAATCAGCATCAGTAAATCCCTCAATCCTCATATGTCCATGACATTCATACAAAATTCCTTTACCAGGGGCAGACTTCAAATATGCCAAGATTCTCATTACTGCCACCATATGATCCACGCTTGGTGACTGCATAAACTGACTACCCACACTTACAGCATAGGTAATATCTGGACGAGTGTGAGAAAGATAAATCAGCCTCCCCACTAGTCTTTGATATCTACCTCTGTCAACCGGTTTCTGATCTGGATAAATCCCCAAATAATGTTTCTCTACGATAGGAGTGTCCACAGGCTTACATCCCAGCATTCTTGTTTCCTTTAATAAATCTAGAACATATTTACGTTGAGACAAGAAAATACCTCTAGATGACCGAGCAACTTCCACGCCAAGAAAATATTTCAAATCTCCCAAATTCTTCATCTCAAACTCGGCGGCAAGGTTTTGTTCTAGCTTCATCATCTCTTCCGAATCATCACCTATTATTATGATGTCATCCATATAAATAATTAAGGCTGTCACTTTACCACTTTCCTGTTTCACAAATAATGTATGATCCGAGTGACTTTGATAATACCCAATCCGCCTCATAACTTGGGTAAATCTACCAAACCACGCACGAGGCGATTGCTTAAGTCCGTAGAGTGACTTTTGCAACATACATACTCCGGTTTTCCCTCCGGCATTGTACCCTGGAGGAAAATCCATATATACCTCTTCTTCCAAGTGCCCATGAAGAAAAGCATTTTTCACATCAAACTAGTGGCCAATTCAAATTTGCAGCTAAAGAAATCAGAACTCGTATTGTATTCATCTTCGCTACTGGAGAAAAAGTCTCCTGATAATCAACACCATAAGTTTGAGTATAGCCTTTTGCTACTAACCTTGCTTTATACGTGTCTACCGATCCGTCTGCCTTGTATTTGATCGTAAAGACCCATCTACACCCAACCGGTTTCTTCCCTTTAGGGAGCTCAGTTACCTCACATGTATCGTTCTTATGTAGTGCCATCATTTCCTCATCCATCACAGTAGCCCATTTAGGATCCTTCAAGGCCTCCTTAACTCGGGTTGGTGCTTGGATTGCTTCCACATTGTTTACCTAGGCTTGACGTTCTGGTGCAAGGTTTGAGCATGACACATAATTAGTTATTGGATACTTCACTTTTCCTTCAGGAGAAAACCTGTCAGGAGGAACACCACGATTTTGCCTTGGCGGTAACTTATATGTACTCATAACATTATCTGGATTAGTTACATGAGCATCAGTAGTACTTACCTCAGGAATATTCAGAGAAGACATATTGGGTGGCACTATTGAGCTTGAGAGAGAGGGGGTTGCGAGTTCGGTAGCTAATGGCTGGAGCGGCGAAACTGGTTCGGGAACTCCCTGCTGACACTCAGCATCACACTCGGCAGCACATTGCTGAGAAGACTCAACTGGTTCGGTGCTACTTGGCTGAATGATACTCACATTCTCGGCAGTGTCTTGCCGAGAGCTTTCACAGCTTTTTTTGTCAATAAATACTCCCCCTGAGCTACATATTTCCAACCACCCAAGATCACCACTCATATTCTCCCCTGGGTGATCGGAAGGTGATGGAGTTGAAGCATAAAAGAACTTGGATTCGGAAAAGGTAACATCCATAGTTACATACATATGACGAGTTTCAGGGTGGTAGCACTTATACCCTTTCTGTTGAGGAGCAAATCCCAGAAAAACACACCGGTGAGCACTTGGATCGAGCTTACTACGATGAATCTTGTGAATATGAACATAGGCTACACACCCAAACACACGAGGAGAAAGAGTATTAGTTGACGCTACTGGAACAAACTCTGTTAATACTTGGAGAGGTGTACGAAAATCCACAACCCGGGATGGCATACGGTTAATCACATACACGGCATAGGTGACAGCTTCAGGCCAGAACCGTTTAGGTACAGATGCACCAATGAGCAAGGCACGGGCAGTTTCCAAGATATGACGGTTCTTTCTTTCAGCAACCCCATTTTGTTGTGGGGTATGAGGACAAGTAGTCTCATGTAGAATTCCTTGATCCCAAAGAAAGCCGGACAACTCGGAACCAATATACTCACCTCCATTATCAGAGCGGAGAACCTTAATAACAGAGGAATATTGTGTTGCAACCATTTGAGAGAATGATCGAAACACCATACCCACATCACTTTTATTCTTCATCACATAAATCCCAAGTCATACGAGTGCAATCATCAACGAAGGTAACAAACCATTTAATTCCAGACAAAGTACTAACAGGAGCGGGACCCCAAACATCAGAGTGCACAAGTTCAAAAGGAAACAATCTTTTATTCATACTAGGAGGAAACGAAACGCGATGACTCTTCGCGAGAATACATACCTCACAATGTAAGTCTGATTCTTTTATTTCATGAAATAAACTAGGCAACATACGCCTCAAATAACCAAATGAAGCATGTCCTAACCGACGATGCAATAACCAAACTTCCTATAAATTATTGGTACGAGATGCTCGAACTGCATTAGCTCTGCCAGAAACAACGTCATCCACATAATATAACCCCTCTCTCTTAGTGCCACGCTCAATGATCTCCTTTGTCTGAATGTCCTGAAGTAAGCAAAATGAAGGATACATTAATACAACACAATCCAATTGTTCAGTGACTTGAGATACAAACAATAAGTGATGGGACAATGATGGAACCAATAAACAATTATGTAAGGGAAGAGATGGTGTAAGAGATATTGTTCCTGCTCCAACAACAGCAGCAGTAGAACCATTGGCAGTTGCCACACACTTTCTATGAGGGTCTTTCATGGATTGAAACAAAGTTCTATCATACGTCATATGATCCGTAGCACCAGAATCTAAAATCCAACCTGTATTTGTCATTGAAATACAATATATTGCACAGCAGTCACTACACATTGCACAACACTGACAAAACAGCAAGTACGGCACAATGCAGATACACAACAAACCACACAATTGCAGTCAACAGTTGCAGGCAACCACACGGCACAACACTGCAGTTCCAGCAGAAGACACGCAAAACCTTACGGTATAAAAAGGAAACCCTTACACGCTGCCCAAGGACAGCAAGCGGCAACAATCTTTTTGTTCTTGGTTGACAGCAGCGGCCACACTGATCTATGGATAGAAATAAGTAGCACAAACTACAGCCCACGGTACAACAGAACAATTCACACGCTGCAAGCAGCAGCAAATCCCTTTTATTTTTTTATTATTTTGGTTGTGGTCACAGATTTACATGCTGCAATCGTGCAGCAGCAACATCAAATCTCCTTTTTTTTTATTACTATCAAGTCTGCAATCATACAAGCACCATCAATTCACACGGCACACCATGCCTGTAGCTCTTACAAGGGCAGAACAAACGCACCAATACACGGCACAATTGCAAAAGCACAGCACCACACACGCGGCAGCAAGATCACACTGCTGCAAATCCACTATACACGCCCTGACCGATTTCTGCAACAAGCAGTGCAGGAACAAGTCGACCGAACATAGCAGCGGAAGAAAATATTGCTTTACAGTTTCTAGGGTTACGGCAAACTTGGCTCTGATGCCAAATAGAATTTTACGGCTTAATTTTCATGTATTCCATATTCTGAATAAATAGTACATACAATCCTTGTTACAAAGGGAAACAAAGTAAAGGATACAATATCCTTCCTAAAACATGACTCTAATAATTACAAGATATTTACATTCCTTTTCTTCTAAATATTGACTTATTCCAATAAAGACATGGTGCAAAACCGAGCACAGTGGTGTTTTAGGATTCATACAGCCGACCTCACTTAGTGGGATGAGGCTTGGTTGTTGTTGTTGTTGCATTGGTTATATAATTAATCTTGCTACTGTTGTTATTGTTAGCATTAGTGGCAGTGGCTGGTGTAGGAAAAGTAGGATCTATACGAGCAGGATTGCCATTCGCCAATGTTATATTAAAAGCGTTGTTTCTCGTTTTTAGATTCCTTAGTTTGAGTTGAAAATGAAGGTTGAAGGACCTGGATAGAGGTTACTCTTTTGTTTATTGGCAAAACATAAGATTAATCTGATTTTCTGTTATTCGCCAGTGTGATCTCCGATGTCTTTTCGTGTTTATTTTGCCGTTTGCATCCTAATGTTTTGTTTCCCTTGAAAAACTGGCTTGATGCATCGTAAAATTTAAATTTATGTTTTGGCTCCAATTTGTTCTCTTTTCCCTGATTCTCTTAACATTGAATTTTTATGTCATTTCTATTAGGAATCTGATGGAAATAAAGTTGTAAAAGATATCATCTACGGCCCTGGAAGAAAGAAGTATCGCCTCTGTAAGGTGATAAATGATATTTTCCCTGATTGAGCAAGCTAATGGCTGTGTTTTTGTTATCTTATCTGGACCACCCCAGAAAATGCTTTTGTTTCGGTGTTTTTGCTAGTTGATTTAATACTGATGTCAATATTTTCGTGATCTACAGCATATCGCAAAGCAACGTGTGCCTGGATTACCTAATGATTTAATGAAGAAAGGAAAGCACTTCATTCTGATCCGGAATCCACTTGATATTTTGGTAAGAGTCTATGTGCGTAAACAGAGTGAAATCTATTTTGTGGTGTTGGTAATTTTGAGTTTAGCCATGCTTCACATCTTAGGCTGCTGACTTTACCGTTCGATGTTTGTTAGCCATCCTTTGACAAGGTTGTTCCTCCATCCCTTGTTGAATTAAGTTTGGCAGAAATGGTTGCCATATATAGTGAGCTCTCGCAACTGGGGCGACCCCCTCCCGTTGTTGATGCAGCAGAACTTCAACGAAATCCTGAGGTATTAGAGAGTTTTTTTATACATATTCACGACTTATCACAAGTGATTTCTCTGCATTGTCCAAGCATTGCATAGTGTTTATGTATTGATTAAGTAAAACTTTCTCAATCTTCTGTTTTCTTTTCCACTTTATCTCGTTGATGATGCAGGCTACATTAAGCGGTCTTTGTGAAGACTTGGAAATTCCTTTTCAGCCCACAATGCTCAAGTATGCAAAAGCTATTCCATTTAAGTTGACAGTGTTCTTGTCTAGTTTTAGTTCTTTTAACATAAATGTCGCTTTTGTAGTTTAGTTAATTTTTTTTTTGTGCATGACAAGTTCCCAATGAATTTTTTTTTTTTTTAATCTTTTTTAGATGGGAGGCCGGTCCAAAAGCAATAGATGGTGTTTGGGCTCCATGGTGGTATGAAACTGTGCATAAATCGACAGGCTTTCAACCACCAAGAAAATATCCTGCGGTATGATATTTGTGCATTGCATTACATTAAATTTGTGATATGTTGAAACCATAAGTGTTGTATTTTTAGTCAAGGAACTAGTCATTTTTGTCGCATGGAAAAACTGGACGCAAAGATATCCAAAAATAAAAGATATTGGCAACTCAAGTTATGACATGACTGAATGTTTCGTTTGAGCTTATGCTCTTTTTGAGTTTTTCAGCCATTCCCTATGTCTCTGTATGACGTGCTTGAGCAAAGCCTACCATTCTACAACTTTCTTAGGCGTCATATGAGGCAGACATCGAGCCTTCTGAAGTCTCCTTTGCCTGATCCCGATCTTCCAGTTCCAGAAAATAAGAAGCTACTTGCATGGGTTGGTGATGAGATTGTACCGCGTGATAGTGCAAAGGTAATTGTACGCAAGATACTTGATGATTTCCAGCCGACAGAATCACTCCAGTGTTTGTTTTAATGCTAAGGTTGGATATTTATTTTTATCCTGTATCCTGTCTAAGGTTTCTGTGTTCGATTCGGTTGTCCAAGGCGGTGATTCAGTTTGGGAGGGTCTTCGAGTTTATGATGGGAAGATATTCAAGCTTGAAGAGCATTTAGATAGGTAAGAGGAGAGAAAATCCGATTTTTGACAAGATTGATTCCTGGTGACTTGATAAGTTGGAAAAACTTACAATTTAGAATGTTCTATTATGATATGTTGGTGATGCTTAATATCCCTCAAAAGAGTTAATCTTTAATGTTGAATCTTATCCTTTCATTAACCTAATGTATACATTATTTTGATACCAATAGGTTATTTGACTCCGCAAAGGCTTTGGCATTCAACAATGTTCCTACTCGCGAAGAGGTGAGAGTTCAATTCATCGTGTTGGGTCTTATGTGAAGAGATTTTTTCTTCAGTAGATTTGGCCTATAGCTTAGAAATGAGTTGTCAGCTCATCCTAATACTGTATCTAATTTCTTCAGGTTAAGGAAGCCATCTTTAGAACTCTTATTCGAAATGGAATGTTCGACAATTCACACATCCGACTAAGTCTGACACGTGGCAAAAAGGTGAAGGATTTTTTATGGCATCCATATCATTTTTTGCTAGAGATTTGTTATCTGCTGTTTTGTAGTTGCATTATTTATTATGGTTTGCAAAATGGTTTGGACTAGAATGCGACACAGTAAATGGAATCAGTAACATAGACCTTAAGTCTCCGTGTTTAATAATCTTTACATCAATGGTACCTGGTAAGGCTCCATCAAAAGTATTACGAGGTATTTTTTCATTAAGTATCATAAGCTTGGTGGTGATAAAAGTGGTGAGTAGTGGACTGTTGCGAGTGTGTCCGCTTTAATTTCATGTTAAAAGTTGGGCCAAGTTTTGGATTAAATATTTTTGGTGTAGTTGTTTAGTGCACTCTTTGTCATAACTGTAGGATTACATCAAGGCTCATCCTTAAGTCCTTACCTTTTTGCGTTGGTAATGGATGAGTTAACAGGACATATTCAAGATGATATTCCTTGGTGTATGCTTTTCGCAGACGATATAGTGTTGATAGATGAAACTCAGGAAGGGGTAAATGCGAAGCTTAACCTTTGGAGAGAAGTGTTGGAATCTAAAGGTCTTCGCCTAAGCCGATCAAAGACAGAATATATGGAGTGCAAGTTCAGTGCAAATGGAGGCCAAAATGAGTTAGGGGTGAGGATCGGAGATCAGGAAATACCAAAGAGCGACCGTTTTCGCTACCTAGGATCTATCTTGCAAAAGAACGGAGAATTAGATGGAGATCTCAACCATAGAATACAAGCTGGATGGATGAAGTGGAAGAGTGCATCCGGCGTATTGTGTGATCGTTGTATGCCACTGAAGCTTAAGGGAAAATTTTATAGGACGGCAATAAGGCCGACGATGCTGTATGGCACAGAATGTTGGGCGGTGAAGCACCAACACGTACACAAAATGGGTGTAGCGGAGATGAGGATGCTTCGTTGGATGTGTGGGCACACGAGAAAGGATAAGATTAGGAATGAGGATATCCGAGGTAAAGTAGGAGTAGCCGAAATTGAAGGAAAACTGAGAGAAAATCGGTTACGGTGGTTTGGACATGTGCAAAGAAGGCCTACTGACGCTCCGGTTAGAAGATGCAACTACGGGACAGAGGTTCAGGGCCGAAGGGGTAGAGGAAGACCTAGGAAAACTTTGGAAGAGACTCTAAGAAAAGACTTAGAGTACTTGGATCTAACGGAGGACATGACACAGGATCGAGCACAATGGCGTTCTAAGATTCATATAGCCGACCCGACTCAGTGACTTGGATTTTTCAAGTCTCCAATCGAGAAGTTTTTCCCACTCGGGAAATTAAGGGAACACTACCTCAACCTACATGCTCCACTCACAAAGCTTCAACATACAAGCTTCAACAAAAGAAAAATTCAAAGAACTTAGTGAAGAAGGCTTTGGTGTATTTAACACAATACGTTGAAATGAAACAAAGCTTATTTATTGATATCTCTAAGAAGTTACAAATATGTACATATACACGAGTCAAAATAAACAAACATGAGGGAGCCTTCACAAAGGTTGCTTAGGAGAAGTCTCAGCAGTCGGCAGAGCCTCAGAAAGAGAAGGCACCGGAGGGGGATCATTCGGAGCCTCAGTACTGGACAGCACCCTAGAAGGAGGAGGCATCGGAGGTTGATCATTTGGAGCTTCATTACGCAGTACAGCCCCAGAAGACGAAGGCAATAAATGCCTTTGGAACAAACCCACAAACCTCTGATGATCATGTAAAATCTGACCATCAGATTCCTTCATCTGGTCAAACTTCCTCTTCATGTTTGTAGCATAGTCATGAGCGAGCCGGTGCAACTGTTTATTCTCATGCTTGAGCCCTTTAATCTCCTGTTTAAGACTCATCACTTCAGCCGCCAATGATTCAACTTGGCGGGTTCGAGCAAATAGGCGTTGGGCCATATTAGACACAGAACCTGCACACTGAACACTGAGAGCCAGAGAATCCTTAACAGCCAACTCATCAGACTGTTTGGAAAGTAGTCTGTTATCTTTGGGAGTGAGAAGGTTCCTGGCCACCACCGCAGCGGTCATATCATTCTTCATCACGGAATCCCCAACGGTAAGAGGACCAGTAGGGGATAAGAAGGATGGGCGCCATATGTTGTCTGGAGAAGGCGTGGCTGCCTCTTCAACAAGGTTCAAGTCAAAACGACGGTACGAGGGGCCAGACATTTTCAAAGGTGTTGAAGAGAAAAGAGGTCGGACAAATCAAGATCTTAGAAATGCAAGAAGGGGGCTTCTACTGGTGGAGATTCAAGTGTGCTTTGGAACTTAATACCAGCCTCTATAAAAATCCGCACTCGATGGAGCTTCAGAAATCGAAGAGGCGCCTGCTCAGAAATCGAAAAAGGCGTTTGCTTTCTCTCAAAAGCTGGGCTGCTCAGAGACCACGAGGGCCGATCTCAGGAATCGAAGAGGCGTTTGCTTTCTCAAAAGCTGGGCTGCTCAAAGACCACGAAGGTCGATCGCAGAAATCGAAGAGGCGCTTGCTTTCTCAAAAGCTGGGCTGCTCAGAGACCACGAGGGCCGATCTCAGAAATCGAAGAGGCACCTGCTTTTTCAGCCTTGTCAGCACCTGTCACATGCACACTCAACTTTGCGGAAATTACGGGCATTCTGTCGAAGATTTCTAGTGAAGTAGAAAGCACGTGAATGTTACTGTTCAATCATTCACTTTCCACACGCAACATCAGCTCACGGGTACCACAGATAACTTTGCCAAAAATCTTTGACAAAGTTTAAACACGTGAAGCTTGCAGCTCCCATTACATCGCTATGACCAAGAAGAGTAAAAGAATAACAAAGAAACAGCACTAACAAAGTTTAGACACATAAATTTTGAAGGTCTAGCTACCATATTATTACCCACAAGGGTAAAGGAACAGGACCATTGCTGGATAATTGGAAAGTCCCTGTGGGTCAACCTCTGTGCTCCGTGGCAAGGTAGACTAGCAAACAGGCCTAACCTTTACTCACATTCGAGAAAACACTCCCAACAAGATTGCTTGCTTCAAGATCGAAGAGGCACCGTCCTCCGAATCTCGAGAGCCAGACTCCCAACATGATTACTTTCTCAAAAAGCGACGAGACACCGCTCTTCGAATCTCGAGAGCCAGACTCCTAGCAGGATTGCTTTCTCAAAAATCGAAGAGGCACCGTTCTCCGAATCTCGAGAGACAGATCCCCGACAAGATTGCTTGTTCGAAAACCGAAGAGGCACCGCTTTCTCAACTTCGAGAGCCCCTTAGATAAAGCTTGTCTGTAATCCTCACACCGCTTTCTCAACTTCGAGAGCCAAATCTCCTTGGATAAAGCTTGTCTGTAATCTTCACACGTAACATCAGCTTTCCAGATACCACATACCACTTTTTCAAAGTGCTCTGACAGAGTTAAAACATGTGAAGCTGGCAGCTCCCACTACCGTGCTATGACCAAGCAGGGTAAAAGAATAGTATTACTCCTTGTTAGGGAGACTCCTATATATGTCGACATCCATCCTCAACGGACAGGCAGACCTGCAAAAATGCTCAACCCTTCCTCATATCTGAGAGGGCACTCCCAACGAAGCCTTTCGAAATACTCAGCTTTCTTTCCCCCCGAGAATACCTCTGCAAACAAGCTACACTAGAGCAAGAATATCTCATATCATCAGGGTTAAAAGCAAGAGTATCCCATATCATGCTTTTTCCCTGTCTTTTCCTTTGGCCTTGTTCTTACCTGCAAGACAAGGAGAAAGAGAGCAATCAGTCAGCACTTGGAATCAAGCTTCCAGTCCGGAACTGACTGCCTGGAACCCCATTGCTCTCGAGTACTCATCTTCAACATCTTATGCTTCCCGAGAAGATACCACATCTGCCTGAGGAACAAATAGGGCAAGTGAGAAGGATATAAGGAAGCATGTGGAGACAAGCGCAACAGAACACGTGCCGATACATCCACTACTTTGTCAACAGCAAAAGTATCCCATATCAGCAGGGTCGAACGTACTCTAGATCTGATGGACTTGTTTTGACCCTCAAATTCTTCAGTCGGCCTTATACTCTGGCGGAAACAAGAAAACTCTCCAGCCCAGTTCAAGAATAAGCCTGTGGAAAGTTACTTCTTCAAAAGCAAAAGTATCTCATATCACATTTTCTCCTTTTCTTCTCTTTATCCTTCATGCTACCTGCAAGATAAGGAGAAGGATAACAATCAGCCGGAACTCGAAATCAAACTTCTGATCTGGGACTGATTGCTTGGAGCTCTGATTGCTTACCTTGTCTGTCACCTCTTTCAGCAGATCCCCTAGCTCGGCGACTTGGGGGACTCCTACTACATGGTTTGTATCGCGCTTGACCAAGCCTGAAACTACAAGTAAGCGTCAAGTGAAATTGATACATTACCTTGTGCATCTCCACCAGTTAAAGATACCACCCCTGGAGGGAGGAAGAGTACTTCCAAAGAAGATGCCACATCTACCTATGAGACAGATAAGGCAAGTGAAGACGATACCACACTTCGGTACTTAAAAGTTTCGTGATTACGAGATCATTCTTCCACAATATTTCCTAATGTCATTTGTGCTAAATCATTCACTTGTACTCACTAAAGGAGAGCTTGAACCTATATACTGTGTAAACCCTTCACAATTAATGAGAACTCCTTTACTCCGTGGACGTAGCCAATCTGGGTGAACCACGTACATCTTGTGTTTGCTTCCTGTCTCTATCCATTTACATACTTATCCACACTAATGACCGGAGCAATCTAGCGAAGATCACAAACTTAATATTTAAGATGATATTCTTTGGTGTATGCTTTTCGCAAACGATATAGTGTTGATAGATGAAACGCAGGAAGGGGTAAACGCGAAGCTTAACCTTCGGAGAGAAGTGTTGGAATCTAAAGGTCCTCGCCTAAGCCGACCAAAGATAGAATATATGGAGTGCAAGTTCAGTGCAAATGGAGGCCAAAATGAGTTAGGGATGAGGATCGGAGATCAGGAAATACCAAAGAGCGACCGTTTTCGCTACCTAGGATCTATCTTGCAAAAGGAGAATTTGATGGAGATCTCTCCCATAGAATACAAGCTGGATGGATGAAGTGGAAGAGTGCATCCGGCGTGTTGTGTGACCGTCGTAGGCCATTGAAGCTCAAGGGAAAATTTTATAGGACGGCAATAAGGCCGGCAATGCTGTATGGCATAGAATGTTGGGCGGTGAAGCATCAACACGTAGGTGTAGTGGAGATGAGGATGCTTCGTTGGATGTGTGGGCACACGAGAAAGGATAAGATTAGGAATGAGGATATCCGAGGTAAAGTAGGAGTAGCCGAAATTGAAGGAAAGAGGAGAGAAAATCGGTTACGGTGGTTTGGACATGTGCAAAGAAGACCTACTGACGCGCCGGTTCGAAGATGTGACCACGGGACAGAGGTTCAGGGCCGAAGGGGTAGAGGAAGACCTAGGAAAACTTTGGAAGAGACCCTAAGAAAAGACTTAGAGTACTTGGATCTAACAGAGGATATGACACAAAACCGAGCGCAATGACGTTCTAGGATTCATATAGCCGACCCCACTTAGTGGGAAAAAGGCTTTGTTGTTGTTGTTGTAGTTGTTTGGTGCACTCTTTATTCCTCGAGTGATTTTATCCTTTCTTTTCATCTTCAGGTTACTTCTGGCATGAGCCCAGCATTCAATCTCTATGGATGCACCTTGATTGGTACAATAAAAATCTCAATCCTCTGTCTGCAACATTTGATTTTGTTTGACATGCGTGTTCCATTCTTCGCTAGGAGAAAAGAGAAACCTAACCTGATTGTGTAATGCGCTAGTAAAATTTTTGGTCTTTCTAATGCTGTACTTTCTATTTCTCCAAACATGCAGTGCTTCCTGAATGGAAGCCCCCGGTCTATGACAATACAAAGGGGATAACTCTTGTTACAGCTACCACCCGTCGTAATTCACCAAATGTAGTCTTCTCATTTTTCTCTTTCTTTTCTCGTGCTTCATTTGTCTGATCGATTTTTCTGCTATTTCCGTCCATTGACTTTCAATTTTTTTTTCCCTTTTTCTTTTACCAGAATTTGGATTCAAAGATTCACCACAATAACCTACTCAATAATATACTTGCAAAGGTTTGTTCTGTTCTTATCATCCGCTAGTAACATGCCACACGCTGTGTATTGATCTTGCAGAACTTTGACCTACATTTGTTTAAATCATCTTGAATATATTGCAGATAGAAGGAAACAATGCAAATGCTGATGATGCAATCATGCTTGACAAGGATGGTTATGTGTCTGAAACAAATGCTACGAACATTGTAAGCCTGTGCTCTTTCTATTTCAGGTTTTGGTGCTGTATGAAAAGTTAGCTAGGTTCCATTTTCCAGATGTGGTTTTCATTGTTATTTATGAATTTCATTTGTGAAAGGATTCGGAAACGTGTCCATGTAAACTAGTCTCAAGTGAATGTTAGAGGGCTGGATCAACTTACTTTCTAGTTCGTACATTTTTAATGAGCACAAAATTTAGACCCGTCCTTAAGTAATGCAATGTTGTAGGGACTTCTGCTTTTGTATTATCACGTCCTATCAGTTCCTTTCACTCCATGTAAATTATGTGACATCCACACTGTAAACAAACTCCCGTGTTTGATTATGCAGTTTTTGTTGAAGAAAGGCCGTGTTTTGACTCCTCATGCTGATTACTGCCTTCCTGGCATTACTCGAGCAACTGTAAGTTACTGTAGATTTCCCTCTTGTTATTGGAATTGCCATCGTTCTCCATGAATTTTAAATATTTTTATCCTTCACTTCGGTGATAATGAGATATTAACCTGAGTACATCGACCCTTGACAAAGTAACGATTTGTTTGGTAAATAATATTTTACACTTGATTTTCCTGTGACTCAATGATCTTTCGAATTTGCAGGTGAAGGAACTTGTAGTGAAGGAGAAGTTGGTCTTAGAGGAGAGAAGGATCAGCCTATCAGAGTTCCATACTGCTGATGAGGTTTTCTTACATAAATACGCATAGTTGGTTACATAATATATACTTGTTAAGTATTAACGGAAGTGTTATTCCCATGTGTTTGTTTTGAACGTATTCTTCATTCTGTTCTGTATTATGTAATTATTATTTACATCTATCATGGATTCCCTGCAGGTATGGACTACAGGAACAATGGGAGAACTCAGTCCGGTGAGTGCCTTGCATACTACATATTCAACTGTTCGTGCTTCCATTCATTGATGCTTGAATGGTCCTCTTCACAAAAATTAATACCTAGTTGATGGGATTTTGTTTACCAGGTTATAAAGATTGATGGTCGCGAAGTTGGTGAAGGAAAAGTGGGACCTGTGACTCGAAGATTGCAGAATGCTTTCAAGGAGCTGACAGAAGCATCGGGAGTGCCCATACCAAACTATCGTGAAACTTGAAGATAATTTCTTCAAAAGGTGAGAGTGCCTCACTTTCTTCATTCAGCTATCGACATTTTTCCACGTCAGTCTTGGTACATGCTGCTAACCAAACCTTACATGTAGCTTAACCAAGTACTTATAGTGTTCATCTTCTGTTTAGAAAACCGTTAGCAGATTTCTGGTCTAAAACGTATGCTAACTACTTCCGTTTCTTTGTATATTCGTAACTTTCATGAATCGCAGGTTGTATTAACGGACCAGTGAATTTCATGGATCCATGGTGTGCAGTTGGAATTGATGAGAGCTTCTCTCACAGATATGAATAAAAGTACCAATTCTTTGAACACCACAAATGTTGCTGGTACAGATGGGCAAATCGCCATTGCTTTTTTATTTGTCATTTATTTCACTTTTAACAGATCACTGGGAACATGTCTAAATTTAGTTATTATAACTCAGAAGTTGTACCATCATGTTCAGCAATGTGCTTTATTTCACTTTTAACATTCTCTATTTTTGCACCTCTCTTTTTTTAGCCGTTTGAGTGAATAAATCAAAGAAAATTAAGGAACATAAAACAAGGGGATAAGTGTAGAACGAGAAAACAATAAGGCGGAAATAATTTCTCTTGACAATATGGCTTGTTGCATGTTTAGAGTATCAATCTTCCATCAGAAAAAGAAGGGATGTTGTATGTGCTTATAAGTAATTAGGTTACTTTTCATATTTCCAATCGGTTTTTTGACGGAGCCTCAACTTTCTTTATGGTATATATCATAGTAAGTTGTTTCATGTGTGAAGCCTAATGGCCACATGTCCTCTACGTCACCCTATTTGTATTGTTCATGTGTTAGGCTTGAAAAATTCGTCATACGTGAGAGAACATGTTAGAGAGTATCAATCTCACATTAATTAGAAAAAAAGGGGCATTGCATATGCTTATAAGTAATTGGACTACTTTCTATACAAAAATGCTATACTTACCATGTTTTTCATATCATATTTGTACCTAGAATCTCAATTTTCTTCACTGCATTCATATGATGATATGAGTATAGCATATGAAGATGATCATTGCTTATGCAGCAGGAGCCAAGTCATATCCTTAATTAGTGGGTTAGTTAAGAACTAAACAGCATTATAAGTACATTACTAATTGCCTTTTAGTGGAAATTAAAGGATTAAAACCAGTTGTCCACAAGAATGTACCCTTCTTTTTTGCACTATAAAAACCAGCATCCACAAGCTTTCGTGTGGAATGCACACTCCACTCACTAGATTAATGATATTTCATACCAAAATCTACAAAAGATAAATTTTTATTTCGGTCCATATGTATTCTTTAATTGGTAATTTGATGGTGGCATTTGTGTGGAATGCGCACTTCAAATAATTTACACTTTCAGGTATTTGAACAATCTTCCCCACTACATACACAATTTGTGGATTTGAATAAGTTACACACACAAAAGCCACCAAAGTGAACAAGGTCTCACATTTCCAAAATAGTATATGCATGTATGCACTCAAGATAGAAGAAATGAGCCCAAAACCGATAAAAATGACATATTTTAAGCAGGAAAATATTTAGCTCGTTACTTGTAAGAGAGTATTCATCATTTCAAACAAATCAAACTTGATATATGTGTTGAAGCATGTTTCACATCGAAAATCACATGAAGTTAAATTGTAGTGATGTCTTTGATGATAAAATTTTACATTTATTGAATTGCAACGATGATTAAGTTAAAGACATTATCAATATTGATTAATAGTGGACCACTAGTCTGTTTCTGAAAATTTACATAAAATTTTCATTTTATCGTTTCCGAGACTCTAGTTTGAGTGAGAAATGACCCTTATGGGTAATGCCTTCCACATATAGTGTTTCCCTCCTCATCACCACTAAGCTCCAAAAATGGTCCATCAACATATGCACTAACCACAACAGAAAAATCATAAAACCGTACGTACCTCCCTATAAATACCTTAATACGGGCGTGTGTCCTCCACAAGCAATCAATATCCTAATCTCTCTTCTTTTCTTTCCATACCAAATCCTACACAAAACTTCACACATGGCTTCCCAACGTGACCAATTTTCAACTTACCACATAGAAATTCCAGTTTATGGAAATGTGACCGATCAACCAAGACAATCTCCAATCCCCGAAGACGACGAAGGTGACACCTTCGACTACTCCCAGAGGACACAGTGGCTTCGCGCCGCCGTGTTGGGAGCCAATGACGGGCTGGTTTCCGTTGCATCGCTCATGATGGGTGTGGGAGCTGTGAAACAAGATGTGAAGGCCATGCTTCTTGCCGGGTTTGCGGGGCTTGTGGCTGGGGCATGTAGCATGGCAATAGGAGAGTTTGTGTCTGTGTACACTCAGTACGACATAGAGATATCTCAAATGAAGAGAGAGATGAAGGAAAATGGTAGGACAGAGAACGGAGAGGAGGCAAAGAAGAAGTCGCTGCCGAATCCAGCGCAAGCCGCCTTGGCGTCAGCCATTGCTTTTTCGATAGGCGCGGTGGTGCCTTTGTTGGGAGCTGCATTTATAACTGAGCACAAGGCGAGGCTGGCCGTGGTGGCGGTTTTGGTGAGCGTCGCGCTGGTTGTGTTTGGAGGGGTAGGGGCGAGGCTGGGGGGGTCACCAGTGGGGAAGTCTTGTGCAAGAGTACTTGTTGGAGGATGGATGGCTATGGCTATAACTTTTGGACTCACAAAGTTAATTGGGTCTAGTGGTTTGGGAATCTGATTAAAATGCGTACTATTGTTGTCATTGTGTTTAATTTCTTCTGTTCTTGTTTTGTTGTTGCTGCTGTTGCTAGTGGTGGTTTTGCAGCTGTTGCCAACACCATTTGCATAGAGGTAGACGTATAAAATCATCGTGTAATTAAGTTGTGTTCAATCAAATAACGTTGGAAGCCTTATCATGCTATGCAACCGTTTATTGGTTGTGATTAATTAAAGATTATTGTGATTGTTTTGGAATGGTAAGCAGTTTCTGGCAACTAAAAGTGTTTCTGATTACTTTCGACATGAAATGTTAAAAGTACTTCGAGCTAATAGAAATTTCTTTTTGTTTTTTTTGAAAACCACATACCAAATGCTTATTCAAAAAACACTTCAAAGTGATCTTTCAGAAAGGACTTCAGGTGTGTTAATAAAACTTTCAACATGCCTTTAACAAAAAAAATTGTAGAAAAAACAATTATGAGCTGAGAAACTTGAACTCACCCTCCAATTATAGTAACCATCAAGCCCCAGATGAGGTACCTAGCTTGCTAGAAAACAGTTAGTTGTCGACTCATGAATGTTCAGTTGCAGAAAGAGCTAACCATCTCAGGTCTTGACGTATTAACACAAGAGAGTTCAACACCCTAATGCACAAGCGCTTTCAAAAGTAAAATAAAAACCCAACACTTCTCATACAACTTTGAGAAAATATTGAATAATTAGAGGTATATGATTATCCTATATACGCAACACAACTTCTTAATTTAGTTTTTTAGTTAATTTCTACATCCTGCGCAGGTGACAAATTGTCTACTAGGGCGGGGTTTTTACCGAACGATAGATAGGTTTAAGTTTCGTTGCTTCGATAGATGAGTGTGACGCAGGGCTCGTGGTCGATCGGGGCATAGTAGGAGAGTTTGTCACTTCTCACCCAATTATGACGTGTCCATAATTAGCTTTTGCTTCACGAAATAATATCATACGGAAGATGCTAGGGATACCACATTTTGTAAACCACATGTGATAGCAGTGGAACCGGCTTGTTTGGTGAGTCATATCTCTAATAAAGAGATGGTTTAAATCTAATTTGCAAAATATGGTCTCTCTAGCATCACTTTTATCATAATACTAGCCATCTTCTGAAGGAGCTTGATCCAATGACTAAAGTTTAAAAGATTAACAATAAGTAGAAACGAGAAGAGAGATATCTCTGTTAGATACGTACAATTAAACTCGAAACGGTAGCCTCAAGCTAAATATTGTTTTTGTTATATTCATACACGTACGTCACACCTGGAAGAAGGAAATACACTACAGATATACTACACAAATTCCATTCCACTAACCTTTTGGTGCTAAACACATCGATTTCCTTTTAAAAGAAAGCCACTCATCAGTTTCCTTCTTACAATATTTATGCAGAATTATTGCCATTCTCTTTTATCTCTTCTCTAACAAAAAAAATAAAATGAAGGATATGATTCATTTATTAATATAAAAGAATAATTTATGCATGCTTTTTTAATTCCAACCTATAATATTTTTTGTTCAATCCGATAGATAAATGAGAGAGGGTTGTGCATAAATTAAAAAATGGATTTCCCTTAACATATGATGATATAAAAGTCGAGTCCCACACTCAATCACCAGCTTGGTTGCAAATGTGTAGGATTTTTGTTGTTTTGGTTACATGGTCTAGAACCTCGAAGAACATATATGGAAGGCCTAACATCGTAACATGCACATGCAGTTGCTTTAGAAGGCCTAACGTACTATATATGTACAGTTTCTTCAAGTTAGGCAGATTGTGTGTGCTCGATCATTGCGAAATCAGTTCTAACTACTTGGTATATTTCCATAGCTTACCTTATCTAAAGTTGTTTATTGGGGTGGAGTTTTGCTGGAATGTCTTTCCGGCTGTCAAGCATGTATTCGTCGGCAATATTTCTTTTTCTTCAACACAGTAGTACTGGTCGGTCTATGGACAACCCCATCTGAATATCCTTATAGGGACAACAAAACATCGACTGAAAAAAACAAAGATAAATGATGCTGCATTTACTACTTCTTCATAAACAACGCTTATACAGACGATACTGAATCTGCTAATGTAGAACAAAGGCAACTTCCAGCTTCTTTTTCCTCCCTTGTTTTAACTTGGTGTACTCTACAGAGCATTAGGATGTTTCGTTTATTCTCTTGAAATTGTTGTTCCAGTGTGTATTAGTTATCATTTGTACAATTGGAATAGTGCTCTTCTTACTTGCTTTAAGAACACAATCCGCTGTCGGAATCGTTTTGAGTTGATGGATAATATTAGAAGACAGCCAATAGAACAAGATCCCTTCGCACCCAATCATGATGTCCTTAAGTAGCTTTTTCTGCACGAAAATATTATAATACAGAAAATACTAGAGAGACCATATATATTTTGTAAACTACATGTGAACCATCTCTCTAATAGCAGTAGAACCGACTTGTTTGGGGAGCCATGTCTCTACTAGATAGATGGTTCAAATGTGATTTACAAAATGTGGTCTCTATATATAGCATCACCCTTATCACAATACTGGTCATTTTCTGAAAGAGTTCGATCTAAGCTCCAGCAATCAAAGTTCAAAAGACCAACAATAAGTAGAAATGAAAACAAATATCTCTGTTAGATGCGTACAATTAAACTCAAAACGACATCTTAAAGCTGAACACTGTTTTTGTATACTCATACACGTAAGTCACACGTGGAAGAAGGAAATACAGTAAATTATTTTCTTAATTTTGAAAAAATTTCACAGGGACAAGGTTGGGAGGAGTTCTCTTAGAAACGGTGAGGGAAAAGGAGGCACTTGTTTCTTCCATGTCAATAATTGCGAGCAGACTTTGGTAAGAAATGACTAAACGATGAGGGAAAGGGAGGCACTTGTTTCTTCCATGTCAATAATTGCGAGCAGACTTTGGTAAGAAATGACTAAGTACTGCACTTTCCAACTTTCTATTTATCTAAGTTCATTGGATTTTTTTTTAAATTCATAATAATAATCTTAATGATCAGTTGATAGATAAGCATTACACATGCTGTCATGACAGCACAAACAACGGATAAACATACGGATGATGCTAAGCACAAACAACATTTTATTTATATCTCCAGTCCACTAAATCCTATTTTAGCAACCTCATGACAGTACTCATAGGCCGCGTTTGTTTGGCGGTAATCTGTACCTCTAATGGGAATTCATTTCTCATTCCATCGAGTTGTAACGTTTGGGTAGGCTAGGAAGGGAAACAAGAGATGAGTTTCACGGGAAACAATTCCCATTTAATCTACACCAACTGCCCCTCTGTCGTTGCAAGACTGAAACACACACGAACCAGCATCTGTGGCTAACCTGCCAATCCAATGGTCATCAAAATAATAAAATTAAAAAAAATTAAAAAAAATTTGGATCATGGTGGGGCAGATTGTCTTCTTCAGAGCTCTGTTGGCTGACAGTTTCGTGTGGTTTGGTAGTGAGAGACTATGACGCCAGGTGTGGGTGAGGTCAGCGGAGGAGGAGGGGGAAGGGGTGGAAGCGATAATGAAGGGTGATGGAGCGGGTGAGAGAGCACACAGCAGATCTGTCATGGCCTGAAAAAGGTTGGAGGATTTCCTTATCATAATTCCTTAGTTTAACCAAACATTTGAAATGGAAATAACATAACCAATTCATTCAAGAATAAGTAAGGAATTGAATTCGATCACTATTACCATATTAACATTCCAGTCAAACAAGCGAGGCCATGGATTTTGTATAGACAAACTCATAATAGTACTCTTATTGATCGATTGACATATAAGCATTACGCATGCTGCTAAGCGTTGAGTCCACTGGATTCTGTTTTGACAAACACATGATAGTACTCCTATTGGTCGGTTAACCGATAAGAATTACACACGCTGCTAAGCGTAAATAACTTTTTATTTATGTCTCCACTCCACTGGATCCTGTTTTGACAAACTCATGATAATACTCATATTGTTCAGTTGACTGATAAGCATTACGCATGCTGTTAGGCGCAAACAACTTTCTATTTATGTCTCCTGCCCACTAAATCTTATTTTGACAAATTCATGATAATGCTCCTATTGCTCGGTCGACGGGTAAGCATTATGCATGATGCTGGGTGCAAACAACCTTTCTATTTATGTCTCCAGTCTACTAAATCCTGTTTTGACAATCTCGTAATAGCACTCATATTGATCAGTCGGTGAATAAGGATTATGCATGTGCAGCCAACAGCTGATGGGCAAGATTCCGCAAATGTGTACCGGCCAACATGTCAGGTAGCTAATAGAACTCCTCATGCTTTCATGGAATGAAATTTGGAACCTATCCACATACGAAGATTCAACCTAAAACCAATTTCATGCCTTTATAGGGTTGCGTGGCTAAAGGTTTTCCTTACTTTCTGACTTGTGATATATTTCTTTGAAATTTCAAGCCAGCAAGCAAAAGAGGAAACTGATAGCTAACGATCCAAGAACCTGATCAATGATCATGACGTCCTTATCTTTTTCTTTACTTCTCTGCATCTCCTCCCAACCTTGTTTATTGGTCACCATTTCTTGTTAAAGGTGGATGGTCCAAATTATGATCAACTGTATTCGGATCAAGTGGATGAGAGATGGGCAGCAGAAATGGAATCAAAGGAACCAAATTAAGGAGAAGAACGTACATGCATCGGTCATGCTACTGTGGCGGTCTACTCAACTGCACTTCCACAATGGAAAGTTAACTTTGACAATGCGCGATTGGTCTAGGAGCTAGAGGCAGAATCTAGGCCCTCAAAACGTTGATATAGTTTGCCAATATTTTTTTTAATTTTAGTGGTGAAAAACTAGAAGTTAGAATTCTAAATGTCAAGTGAGTTCACACTGCCCAAGTCTTGGGCTGAGGCTAATATGGCCTCGTAAAGTGCCTATGCTTCAATTTAACTAGGCCAATTTTATTGGAATACAAGTTTTTTCAATTTTAAGGCAAGATTATAAATTTGCCTGGGCCATTAGGCTTCCATTACATATCCTCTTATCATTCACCTACGTGACCATCTATGGGTTACGATTAGAGCCATTCTACTAAAGGAGAGAAACCCGCAGACACCGGGTCTTGATACACACGTTCTTATAGCGCACACCAACATCATGGTGTGTGCTAAAAGAACAATGGGGCAAGCAAGTCTCTCTCCGGCTAGAGAACCAGTGGCCGAAATAATGTAGATGTTCCCGTTTCATAATGCATATGCCACTACTTCGAAACAGGACTACAAAATCCTAAAGCACCATCTCTATCAACAATGGACTGCAAATATACAAGATTCAAACAAGAAACTCAAGAAAACAGCTACGGAGTACGTTGAAGAAGCGGCGTGCTACCTGTTCTTCGAAGACGTATAAAAGCCATAAACCACATGATATCTTCATTAAAAGTAGTAATCGTAACTATGCAGCAGCATTCCATAGCAGAAATGGAACAATAACGGGTTCAAAATTAACCAGAAAAGAAACATAGCAGCTTTGAACAGGAAATCATATAACCCAAAAACTTGATTCTACAAAAATAATACCTACTTCATCACAACTGAACCAAAGACAGAAGCAGAGCAACCTCGCCTCGGCAAACAAAACACGGGCAGGAACAGAAAAACAGGGACCCGGGGAACAAAACAATCGAGCAGTTATTCAACTCAGCAAGAATGGAACTTCCCAATCATGTAACGAAAAAGAGCAGATCCTGCCAAAGGGAACTCTCCCACCGGTGTGCTCTGTATAACGTGAGGGACTTTATGTTGAGTTAAATTGCAGATGGCTTTGCTCAGGCCGAAAAGACTTTCAAAAAAGTTAGGTTTAAAACTATCTCGTCCAAATAGTAACACAGAAACCCATATCATGGTTCAAAAAAGACCAGATCCTGCCAAAAGGTTAAAAACATTATTATAGCAGGAATGGCAAACGAGAATATATCATGCGTCAAAGTAACTTACAAGAGAAAATATTACCCGGTTCACTCCCATTTTACTAGCAAAGATACCGAAAACAGGGCAGCCAAAAGGACGTTCTACTTATAGGACCACTTCTACTTCCAAGTAACAAGAGGCAAACTCCCAATAGCGGACCCCTCACAATCTATCCTCCGACATACCCAACATCGAATGACCTTCCCAGATCGCAATTGCCAATGCAAAACAGTCAAGAGGAACCAAATGGCCTTCCAATATTTCAAGTGCCCAAGCAAAACAGTCAACAGGGACAGACAGCAATCATAGCATTTGCAGTCACCGATGAATCAAAGTCACAGACTACCACCAGTCCCAATGGATTCATAGAGTATAAGGCCAAATTGAAATATCATTTGCAAGCAAGCATAAAATTCCATCGGATCAAACATTCGGTCGAGCATTTAGCAACAAAAAACAGGTGAATATCTATGCAAGATTCGCACTTCAAAATACTGGTCCAACTAAATTAATCCACCCAGAAATCATCAGAGGACACATCCAGCGAGGGGAAACTTCAAAGCAGTGCAGAGAGAGACAGTCACCTGAGCAGCTCCTCAGGTTCCCAAGCTGCAAATAGCACATCAACAAAATTACCTTCATTACAATACTAACTGTGAAAAGCATAAAAATCATTGAACAAGTGTGTTTTACATACCACTATAGGAAGCAATTGTTCTATCCAGAACGGAAGCCACCTGTACTCCGACGTTCATATGGGCCAGAGCGGTCACGACTGTACCGATCACTTCCAGAACCTCCACGACTACCTGAATCCCTGCTGCGCCCACTAGATGAACGGTCTCCATTTCGATCAGGTCCATAACGACCGCTACCACCACCACCGCCACCATACTTATCATCCCTATCACCATACCTGCCACCCCCTCCTCTTGAACCTTCACTTGGACACTCCCTGGCAAAATGCCCTGGCTTGCCACACTTGAAGCAGTCTCCTCCACCTCCACCTCCACGTCCACGTCCACCTCCAAAGTCGCGACCACGGTCACGATCACGACCGCGGTCACCACCACGGTCACCATCAAAATCTCTACCTCCACCACCTTGGTGAGGCTGAGCTTTATCAACAGTGATAGTTCGTCCATCTAAATCCAATCCATTCATTTCCTCAATGGCCTCTTCCATTGCTTTTTTATCATCAAAAGTCACAAACCCAAATCCACGAGAGCGTCCAGAAAATTTATCAACAACCACCTATATGAGAAAATAATTGTCACCACAGAAGTTCCATTGAAGAGTATAATGAATGTCAAACAATATGATATTGGATAAAGAATGAATAATTACTATCTAACTTTTCAATGAAACCAAATCGAAATCATATTTTCCATATTTATAGGATATCAAAACCCGATGCAATAATCAACGGAAAGAAGACAGTTACAAGCAAATGCTAGATTGAAATCAAATATATCCTATCTAAACTGTATCCACAGTTCCAAACATCAAAGGAAAAATATAATAAAAAATTACCTTAGCTTCAACGAGCTTTCCAAACTTTTCAAATGCTTCTCTTAGACTTCTATCAGATGTTGACCATGCAAGGCCACCGATGAAGCATCGATACTCCAGCTCTTCTGACATCTTCTAAACTGAAATTCGCAAAAAAGGGCATCAATCATGGAAGCGAAGCATGGAATCAATATAAACTGTTCAACAATCTATCAACAAACTAACATGAATTTCCCCAATATTGCATAATCCAAAGAATACTAATAAAATCCCTGACCCCCGACACACAATACAACAAAGTACGAGCTTTCGAGCCTGAATTCGCCACACCCCCATACTCAATCTGCTAACTGAGAGAAGCCCCTTCATATCCCATAAACTAATCAGATTCAAGATGTAACTCATACAGATAGACACATACTGAAATAAATCAAAAACCCAATTAAGATATTGGGACATGTATCCTACAACTCCATGCCAGCACACAAACGCAAGTATATAACTTGAAATACCCAATACTTCTTGGCCTTTCTTTTGAAAACTACAGGCTTTATACAGTAAACCCTAATCAATTATCCAAATAACATATTTAATCAAATACTTGAGATCTAAAATTAAACAAATTAACCACACAAAAATTGGCAAAATTAAACTCAGAGAAATTAAATCAAACGAATCTGCCCCCAAATTTGTAATTGAAAGCAAGAATAAAAAAATTGGAACTAACAATAAGTATGGAAAGCGGTGGAATTTACATACCAGGAAGAGAGAGGCTAGGGTTTTAGATCTCAAACGCAGAGAGAGAGAGAGAGAGAGAGAGAGAGAGAGAGAGAGAGAGAGAGGCTGAGGGTTTCGGCTCTCGGCTTTGAACACAAAAGAGGGAGAGAGAGCGCTTGTGTGGGTGTAGGGATGGGACGGGTTGTAGGAATTTCTTTTGGTTCCCGGACTCTGTGTCTGATTGGGCCACGTGTCCACCGGTATGAGATATTTATCCCCTTATAAATCAGCTTATTATAAACTCTTTTTTTTTTTTTTTAGTGTTTTCCACACACTTCTTTTTACTTCTCACACACCTTTGTTGATTTTTGTCATTTGATCTTCTTCAATTCATCCGATCCGACGGCTGAAAATTAAAAGAGTGTGTAAGAAGTAAAAAGGGGTGTGTGGATATCACACCCTTTTTTTTTTGGCCAAATGATATATTTTATTAAATTAGATGGTAGATTAGTTACTGACGGAGTTCTAAGATGATAAAACTGTTGTGGCCAATTTATCTGACAAAGAGAGAGAGGGGTGCGGAAAGAGAGAGTGGAGAAATATGTAATATTTTGTGGTGTGTTATTCTGTTTACTTAGGATAAATACCACGTCTTAAGGGTTGCATGATTTTTCAAAAGGTTTCACAAAACTTAATGAGTCATGCATGTATAGATTTAATCTGAATACCACAGACATATTGCATGTTTGATATACGCTCTATTTTGGGGGTCCAAGTAGGCATATATTAGAAAAACCTAACTTTCGAAATATGCATGTATAAGTCATAAGTAATTGAAACAACTATATATGATTGTTAAGGACGACGGATCCCTAGTGCTTTCTTAATTTGGTTTCTACAAAACTAGTTCCTTTTCCTCATTTTTAATATTGCAGATTTGTCTACTCTCTTTAATTAAATTTTTTTTATTATTAAAATAGGTCATAAATCAATCATCCAAAATCTTTATAATTAATTAGAATTTGGTTGGTTATGAGTTATTTAATAATTCTTGTCGAGAAACGACATTGTTAGAATCATTAAATTACAATAACCTTGTCATTCTTGCAAGTATTATAGGTGTTTTTAACCCTTTTACACGTGTGGTAAAATCCCTATCATTACATATGCAGTGGGTTGTGTTTTTGCTTTCGCTCGTTTGCTTGAGGCTGGGTTTTAGGGTTACGATTTGTGTTAATGGTGTCCTGTTTTGCTCGAGTTTTATTGTTCAGGATGGGTTCTGTTTGTTTTAGGTTCCGTATGAGTTTTGATGTTTGCTTGTTGCTCCTCTTTGTGTCTTTTGGATTAAGTTGAGGCCTTGCTCTTTGGTGGCCAAGCCTACTACTATAGGTGCTTGTTATACTACTATAGGTGCTTGTTATGGTTTTTAGGGTGTTTTGTTTATGCCTTCTTCTCTTATTTTTTTAAGGAGAACTAATGAAAATGATTTGAAAACTTTGAGTTTTAACGATAAGGATAAAATAAAGGGTAAAGTGAATAGTACCATGATTGACTTTTTAACGTTAAAATGTGATTTTTCTTTAAAATGAACAATACCGAGAGTTTTTTTATTAAAATTCCCTATTTTTTTAAAGTGTTTTGTTTATGCCTTCTTCCCTTATTTTTCTTTTCTTATATACTTGTTTATTCAGCCCAAAAAATGTCCAGACCGACTCTAAACAATGCTTACCAAATGAGCTTAGAGCAATTCCACCCCATTCCAAATGTCCCAGCCCCCAGTCCAAAAATCAAACTAATCCTCAGTCCATTTGCTCCACCCCACAAAGCTGACTGGCACCCAGCCCAAGCCAGGCGCCAGCCCAGCCTGTTTCGGACAGACCCAGGAACTGGGCAAAATACACGGCGCGTGCACGACACGCGGGAGCTGAGGCGAGTAGCCGACAAGGAAAAGGTGGGGCTGTCAGCCCACTTGTGTCCCGTCCCAGGCAATCTTTGAGCCGTTGGATTTCCAACGGCTAGTTTATCTAGACCGTTGGATTTCCAACGGTAAAAAAAATTAAAAAATTAGTTTTAAAATGGACCGTTTGATCACAGATCAACGGTCCACGTTTTAGACGAAAAAAAAATTAAATAAAAGGCCCCAACGGTCAGATTTTTTACCGTTGGCCACGTGGCGTGATCTTAGCTATTGGATTTGATTTTTTTTCAAATCCAACGGTCCAGATTAATATCGGAAATCTATTCACAAAATAGTACGTTCAGATAATGACACGTGGCGTGACGAGATTGGTTAAAAATCCTATCCGAAATTAAAACTATTTTATTTTTTTATTCTTTATTTTAAATGGGTTAAAAATCTTATCCGAAATAAACTTAAAAAAAAAACACACCAAATAAATGCGCTGGGTGCCAGCGCATTTTTTTAGGGGTGGAGATGCCTTGGCCTATTACTGTTCACTCCAGTCTATTACTGTTCATTTGAGTGGATAAATGCGCTGGGTGCTGGCGCAAAGTCCACAGGGGTGGAATTGCTCTTATGGGCCATGCACGCGGTTTGCCAGTTGACTATTTTGTATACTTTTTATTTTCTGACACTACTACTAGAATCGGAGTATATACCTTCATAGTCATAATCGGAGTATAACACATAAGCTAACCCAAGACTTAAATATGAACAAATAGCTCGATTGGAGTCATTTTTGAATATGACTCTTTTCTTCATTTTTTATTAACAAAATAATTCTTTGAAAGAGGGATTATCTTTTACAATTAAGACATAACTTTAGTAGTGTCACTAGCTAGCTAGTTTAATAGATACTTGTCCGTGTTAAAAAAGAGAGCATGTATCCTTTCTTCTGAAATGAATTAATGTATTGCAGAAAACTTTATATTCATTGCATTACTTAAACTTTGACATGCTATAGAGAACATATACTGAGCTCTTCTAAAGTTGCTCATGCATGGCACTGATGGCAGCGCTTCCGGCAAAATTTGAGCTTTATCGACAAACAATTTTGTCGAGAAAGCCATCCTTTTTTCTTTTTGTAGTGAGGGTGCGCCTTCTCTTGATGCTTGCACTACTTATTCAATAGGTGGTACAAACTTATAGGTACTCCTTATGAAATATAAAAGAATGAGCTGCATGTTCTTTCTAATACTTTTAAAGAACTCTTTTCGTATTCTTCTAAAATCTATCACATGTTCGATACTTGATGATACAATATATGAGAAGCTAATTACTAGAAATACCAGAGTATACAATCATTCTTAACCATCCGATCAACCGAATGCGTCTCTCAATGGCTGTAAGTAATGAGGTTGCCAATTAAATTACTAGTTAGAATATTTTGACCAGAGAAGAAACACCCGGACATGAGTCTATGACATGATATATAGGGTATAATTAAATCTAGAAAAAAAGGCAATTGATTATTTAAAAGCGAGGTTTTGATGATCAGTCCAAAACAGCATTGCTTCTTCTTGAATCCTGGCTAGCATCTCATGGACAGCTGGTACAATTTCATCACTGAAGCCAGCGTGCACTCATCTTCAACCTGCTTAATTTTAAAAAATTCATAATATATATATATACATCCTTAATTTTAATCTTCTAATTTTCTGCACAAAATTAATTTTCGAATTGAGTTTCCAATTACCTTGGGACTGAGAGAATGGAGGACAGTATCATCAGCAGTGACAACATTGAGATGGAGAACGGTGAGGTCCATATCATGCAACCCTAAAACAATTTCAAGAGTTGCTTTGGGAGCCTTTTATAAGGATCCAAGTGAAGACACAAGTGAAGAAAAGCTATCCAAGTGAAGAGAAGATCAAGGGTCAAGTCAAGTGACACTCGTCAATAGATTAAAGGGATGAGCGGTTATAAGTTGTTAGAATATAGTTGGGATAAGGAGATGGAAGATTAGCAACTAAGTAAAAAAGGAAGATTATATAACAACAATTGTAACCATAACTTGACAATCAAGAAATCAAAAATATCTCTCTTACTCTCTCTCTCTCTCTCTCTCTCTCTCTCTCTCTCTCTCTCTCCGTATACAGTCTGTGTAAAGTTCTCAAGAACACATTGCATTGAAGCTTTCATAATCTTCATATGGTATCATCGTCGAGAACGAGATCTGGCGCTTCCGCACCCTCAATTAAAAGCATTCATTTCTTTTTCTAATCCTCTAATTTGTAAAGCTACTGTGTGTTTCTGCAAATTTGGGATTTCTCCTATCTCCATGACCCTCAAGAATCTGCTCTTCTTTGTCTGCCTTCTACGTGTTTGATAAAAAGCGTCTGAGAAAATTTCAACAATGGTGACTGCTGATCAATTGAAGATTGTTCAATCCCCTATCACAAGTCTTGTTTCCACGGTCTCCACTTCGGTTACAGTGAAGATTGATGACTCCAATTATCTCACATGGAGTTTTCAAATCAAACTACTCTTTGAGAGTCACGGTATTATGGGGTTTGTTGATGGATCAAGAAAGTGTCCTTCAAGATTTGATGATGATTCTGACATCGAAGGAGTTGAGAAAGATGAGTACTTGATTTGGAAAATGCACGATCGTGCCCTTATGCAACTGATGATTGCAACGTTATCTACTACGGCAATGTCCTGTGTAATTGGAAGTCAGAGTTCTCATGAGATGTGGGTAAATCTTAATGAACGTTTTTCTACAGTGACAAAAGCCATGATTTTTCAGATGAAAACTGAGCTTCAAAATATCAAGAAAGGGTCTGAATCTATCTCTAGTTATCTGCAAAAGATCAAAGATGCCCGGGATAATCTTGCAGCTGCAGGAGTCATGTTTGATGATGATGATATCATAATTCTGGCGCTGAAAGGACTTCCTACAAAGTTCAACACTTTCCGGTGTGTCATAAGGGGCAGAGAAAATGGTATTTCTCTTAAAGATTTCAGGTCACAACTGATTGCAGAAGAAGCTACCATTGGTCAGTACTTTGACTCCTCATCCTCTTTGTCATTTAGGACTGCAATGGTTGCTGGTACACAGTCAAACAAAGGGAAAGCATTAGTTCTTGATCAAGAGTTATCACATTCTCATGAAGTTGGTTCTACTTCTGCGGTCTCTAGCCAACAGTTTTCCAATCATAGTGGCATGGCAAATGCTCCAAGATTTACCAATTCCTATCAGGGTTCGCATCACTATGGGGGTTACAAAGGGAATAATTTTCGTGGCAATGGACGTGGCAGAGTTTTTAACTATGGTCTTCGATCTTACACTCCTTCCCCAAATGGTAGTCCTGGAATTCTTGGTGCCCCAAGACCTTATCAATCCACCTGTGCAGAGCATCCTTCTGAGGTTCCTATCTGTCAAATTTGTAACAAGAAGGGACATGTTGATGCTGACTGTTTTCAAAGACACACATCAAACTCTAGTGTCCCAACTCAATGTCAAATTTGCTGGAAATTTGGTCATTCAGCTCTGCAGTGCTATCATCGAGGCAATTTTGCATACCAAGGCAAACCTCATCCACCAAATCTCATTGCCATGCATGCTCATCCTCAACATTCTGCACCTGAGCAACAGTTCTGGCTTGCAGATACTGGAGCCACTACTCATATGACCTCTGAGTTAGCCAATCTGGAACTTGCTACTCCATATCAGGGCACATCAAGCGGTACATGTTTGACTATTTCTCATATTGGCACATCACGGTTACCTGTTTCCAATACCACACTTGCATTGAAGAATGTTCTCCATGTTCCATAAATTTCACAACACTTATTATCCATTTATTAGTTGTGCAAGGATAATAGGTGTCGATTTATTTGTGATGATACTTCTTTTTGGGTTCAGGACAAATCCACATGAACAATAATACTCAAGGGGCTATGTAAATAGGGCTATTATCCCATTCCTTTCAACATCCCAGAGAAGTTGTCATCTGCATTACCTCACAAGCATACATCCTGTCTAGCTAAACCTGTCAACACACATTTATGGCATAAGAGACTAGGGCATCCATCAAATGTCATTACCTCTGTAATTCTACATCAGAATAAGATCCCTACATCACTTGATCCATGTCACTCCATTTGTACACCTTGCTTAGAAGGAAAATTTACAAAGCTACAATTCAATTTCCCTGTTGCTAAATCTGTACAATCTCTGAAGGTTTTACACAGTGATGTATAGGGACCTGCCCCCTTGTTATCTCATGAAGGATTTAGGTATTATGTAACCTTCATAGATGAATGTACCAGATACATATGGATTTTCCCTTTAAATAATAAATCAGAGGTTTTTACAACATTCGTGCAATTTTATGCTTATTTATGTACTCAATTCTCTGCAAAACCAAAAGTTTTACAAAGTGATGGTGGGGTGAGTATGTTAGCACAAAATTTCAACATTTTTTATCACATCAAGGCATGTTACATCAAAGATCTTGTCCCTACACCCCAGAACAAAACGGTTTGGCCGAAAGAAAACATAGGCATGTTGTAGAAACTGTCATTACCTTACTTCAAACTGCACATTTACCATCTAAGTTCTGGTTTCATGCCTGTGCTACAACAACATACCTGATTAACAGAATGCCCTTAGTTGTGTTACAAATGAAATCTTCGTATCAATTGTTATTTCATAAAACTTCAGATATTAGTCATTTAAAAGTTTTTGGGTGTGCCTGTTTTCCCTTACTTAAACCATACAATCATTCCAAACTGCAACCAAAAACAAAAACATGTGTCTTTGTGGGATATGCAAATCACTATAAAGGGTTCATTTGTCTAGACATGGTTACTCAAAGAACATACATCTCTAGGCATGTTCTATTTGATGAAACTTGTTTTCCATATCTTCATGCACCATCCTTATCTTCTTCCCCAGTGTCATCACTTACAAATTTAAATATGCATTCTCACAACATTTCACCAGCATCTATATCATTACGAAATCAAGTTGTGTTCCCTGCATCTCATACTCCTTCATTCTCATCTACAACCACGTATTCCTTAAACTTGCATTCATCTAGTGCTTCAGAATCCTTGACTGCATCTAGAGCCTCATAGTCCTTGGATAAACTTGCATCTAGTACTTCCGATGTTATTTCTTCATCTCCACAGCCATTCAATAATAACCCTGCCTTTCTTACACAGCATCTCATTCATGTGGATCCTGATTTTCAACATGAAAATCTGCAAGTTGTGTTACATGTGCCTATGAATGTTCACCCTATGCAAACACGATCTAAAAATGGTATCTTCAAGAGGAAGGCTCTCTCTGCCTCTTTAAGCTCTTCTCATGACTCCATCATAGAACCAAAATCCTTCAAGGCAGCTTTTCATGTTTTAGAATGGCAAGCAGCTATGAAAGAAGAAATTAGTGCTTTGCATACTCAGAAGACTTGGTCCTTGGTTCCTTTGCCACCTGATAAGAACCTAGTTGGTTGTAAATGGGTATATCGGATTAAAAGGGATGCAAATGGGTGTATTGCTCGATATAAGGCACGGCTTGTTGCGAAATGATACAGTCAGGAAGACGGGATTGACAACGGTGAAACCTTTAGCCCTGTGGTGAAGCCTACTACTATACGACTGATTCTTGCTTTAGCTGCACAGTTCAATTGGCCTCTTAGACAAATGGATGTAAAAAATGCCTTTTTACATGGCATTCTTCAAGATGAGGTGTATATGGAACAACCTCCAGGGTTTCAAAGTGCATATCATCCTCATCATTATGTGTGTAAGTTACAAAAATCTTTATACGGGCTTAAACAAGCTCCTAGAGCCTGAAATGACAGGTTTACAAGCTTTTTACCTGGCTTAGGATTCAAAGCTTCTCAAGCTGATCCCTCATTGTTTGTTCAACATTCATCTAAAGGTACTGTAGTCTTGTTACTCTATGTTGATGATGTGATACTTACTGGCAGTTCTGAACTTATTTCAACTGTGATTAAGGGTCTCACAGAGGAATTTGATATGAAGGACTTGGGCCAACTGAATTATTTCTTGGGGTTACAGATTAGTTATACCTCAGGAGGGTTATTTGTTTCTCAAACAAAGTATATCAATTAGTTAGTTGCGAAGGTTGACTTGCAAGATTGTAAACCTTGTGTTACACCTTGTTTACCGTATCGTCGGTTACTTAAGGATGATGGCAAACCATACCATAATCCTGAGCAATACAGAAGCATAGTTGGTGCCCTTCAATATCTCACATTTACTAGACCCGATATCGCTTTCTCAGTGAATCAAGCCTGTCAGTTTATGCACAACCCTATGGAGTCTCATGTTATTGCGGTTAAACGAATCATACGATATCTCAAAGGTTCATCAAGCCTTGGTATTCAGTTCACGCCAGGACACTCCATTTATAGTCCTATAATGATGCAGATTGGGCTGGGGATACCAATGATCGCCGGTCTACTTCAGGATTTGTTATATTTCTTGGTTCAAATCCGATTTCTTGGTCATCCAAGAAGCAGCACACAGTTTTCAGGTCTTCCACAGAGGCTGAGTATCGCACCTTAGCCATTACAGCTGCAGAGTTGGCTTGGATTCGACAGTTGTTTTGTGATTTACATGTTTCTCTTTCAAATCCTCCACTTATCTATTGTGATAACATCTCAGCGATTGCACTTTCCACTAATTCAGTGTTTCATTCCAGGTCAAAACACATAGAGATCGATTATCATTTTGTACGGGAACGGGTCATTCGAAGAGATCTTCAGATTCAACATGTCTCCTCTGCGAACCAATCAGCTGATATACTTACAAAATGATTGTCAGCTCCTTTGTTTCACTAGCACTGTGTTCTCTTCAGCATTCGATTGAGGGGGGATATAAGGATCCAAGTGAAGACATAAGTGAAGAAAAGCTATCCAAGTGAAGAGAAGATCAAGGGTCAAGTCAAGTGACACTTGTCAATAGATTAAAGGGATGAGCTGTTATAAGTTGTTAGAATATAGTTGGGATAAGGAGATGGAAGATTAGCAGCTAAGTAAAAAAGGAAGATTATATAACAACAATTGTAACCATAACTTGACAATCAAGAAATAAAAAATATCTCTCTCTCTCTCTCTCTCTCTCTCTCTCTCTCTCTCTCTCTTCATATACATTCTGTGTAAAGTTCTCAAGAACACATTGCATTGAAGCTTTCATAATCTTCATACCTTTTGGATCTTACTTTGAGGCTTGCATGGCTCTCCACCATTGTAGCTCCTTCAGAAAGTTAATCGCACCCCCAATGATTGATGCTTGGTCACCTTAATAATAGAACCGTCAGATGTTGATCCAATGGCAAGACACCCCGGACTATTAAATGGTCCGGCTCATGGAAGACATACCTTTTTTTGTAAAATCATATACAGAAGAAACGCAGTCATTAGGGTTCGAGAAATACCAAACCCCTCTCTTTATACTGCCGACAACCACCAAACCACCTGAAAAATGTACAGTCACATCTCCAAATGCTTTGAGGGGTTTGTAACTGCAGCGCGCTTTAGCACTGCAGCATCCTTAGTCTTTTTGCCCTTCTGGGTTGTCATCAGGCTCTCAAGCGTACCGGACTATGATTCCACCAAACACCATAACTATGATTCGAGGAAACACCATAAAGAAATAATGTATGAACTCACTCAGATTCGAAGATTCTTGATACGTTAGTTTATTCTTTTATTTATTTTTGAGTAATTTGAAGTTGTTAATTTGAAAAGCACGGCAGATCTAACAATTATCATTCAAAATTTTTATGTAACTAGGAAGCTGGAGAAAAAAAGCTACGGTTCAGAGGGGAATGGTGAAGGATGAAAAAGAAAGGAACAAGTGTGAGCTAAAACTTTAATGCGGATGTTTCCACTCATGATAATTTGAAATTTAATGTGGATCTTATTTGCTGTCTGCACTAGCATGTTTTGGTTATTTGTCATGTGTACGACTGGAAAAGGATCAACATCCTTCTCTGCTAGTGTTTTGATTATCCCCTGAAATATTTGAACTTGTCATTAATTATGTTAGAAATCAGCTGAGGCTGGTTATTAATCATTCTAGACTTCAGGATTTGGTTATTAATCATGTTATGCCGTGGGTTGTGTTTTTGCTTTTGCTGGTTTGCTTGAGGCTGGGCTCTGTTTGTTTTAGGGTCCATTTGAGTTTTATTTTTTTTATGTTTGCTTTTTGCTCCTCTTTGTGTTGTCCTCTTTTGGATTAGGTTGAGGCCTTGCTTTTTGGTGGCCAAGTCTACCACTAGGTGATTGTTATGGTTTTCTTGAACTTAGGGTGTTTTGTTTATGCCTTCTTAGCTTATTTTTGTTTCTTATAGACTTGTTTATTTATCCCAAAAAAATGTCCACACCAACTCTAAACAATGCTTTCCAAGTGAGCTTATGTATGAGCCATGTACGCAGTTTAACAATCGAATATTTCGTATAGTTTTCATTTTTGGCACTACTAGAATTGGACTATGTAACTTTCCTAGCTAATCTTAACTCCTTACCTCAACCAGCAAACATCAGACTCTTACTTTTTCCTTCTCTCAGTCTCTAGCTCTCTTTTTCTTTCACATGAAAACTACTAACACAAAACAACGCTAAACTTCCACCTCATGCTTAATTGTAAACATGTCCACCCCAACACTAAACAACGCTCTCCAAGTGAGCCTATGAACCACGCGGTTTGCAAATTGACTATACTTTTTTTTTTCGATCACACTAGAAGTAAACCACATGTACCCTTCCAAATCCTAAACTCATAAATTCATTCTTCCTCATTACTTGATCCAACCGAAAGCTTAACTGTCTTGTGTACTTCTTTGGGACTCACATAGTTCTATTGGAGTGATCGACATATATGCAAGAGTAACAGTTTGTTTGAACTGCACAGATGGTTTTATTTGAAAAAGTATGAACAAATGGCTCTATTGGAGTCATCATTCGAGTATGGCTCCTTTTGTTTTGCTTCCTGGGCTTGGTTAACAAAACCTTTTGTATCCTTTTCTCTCTCTAAAATTCTCTCTGTAAAAGACATTTCCAGCAATTTTTGCCGCCGGCCCTAATCTTTGGCTTGGGTGCCAAAGGCATCTGCCCTTCCTCCCTTCCTTCATTCCTTTATTCTTTTCCTCTCTCTTCTCTGTTTCCTCCTGAATTTTCTTAGTTTCTCTCTCCTTTGCCCTCTCCTTCTTTTCCTCCCCTCTCATCTTCTTTGCTCCTTCCCCCTCTTTGCTTCCCTCCTCATCTTCCTTCTCTTTTTCCAGTTTTCTTTATTCCTTTTTAATTTTTGGTTCTCCCCTGAGTTTAATCTCAGTTTTCCTTGAGCCGAGTATCAATTATCCTGGGCTTCATACCCCTTGTTCGGCGTTTTTTCACTTGTTTTTAATGCTTTCTGTCTTTTAATTTCTCTTCCTCTCTCCTTCCTAGCCGTGATACTTCATCCACATCCCACCATGTGATCGGATCGACGAGCTCCAATCAGAAATTGGATATTAAATCCACTTCCCTCTATCACTTGCCCTCCCCCAACCGGCATGTCGGATCCCCATCAAGGCCAAATGTTGGGTATTTTACATACTCCTTAGCCTCACTCTCTACCCAGATGTTACTTTGTTTTTATATATTTGAAGGGGTTTGTGAAAGGGATTTGGATCTGGTGTCTACTTTCTCAGTTCGGAGTTTGGTTTTCTCTGAGGATGTGACGGCAGCTGCGGTGTGGTCTGTGCTACTAGAGATTATGGTTTTTTATTGTTTGTTTTCTGCGGCCTTCAAGCATAAGTTTGTCTGGACATCCCGTTGTATCTTGGGTTGCTACTCTGATTTTGCTTGGGCCTTTTACTTTCTCTGTAGTTGTTTACCCGGTTCTTTTTGGGCCTTGTACTAGTTTTTGTTGTAATGAAATTTGTCTTCATGATCAAAAAAAGCAAAACTTTTTGTAGGATTATTCTAAGATGGGCATCAACTTTTGGAAGTAGGGATTCTTTCTTGCAATTAAGACATAGTTTTAGGGGTGTCATCAGTTTAATAGATACTTGTTCAATGTTCAAAAAGAGAACCATTTGTTTAATAGATGTCATGTGATGAATTAACAATATGTAAGAAACTTGACAACAACAAAAAAGACAATGGGATACACCAATGTTTAGTAAAAACTACAAAATGTTATTAAAATACAAAGGGATATATAGTACATGCAAATACAACAATAACCCACTATTAGGAGGTGTGGATGCAAATTTCGGCTAAGGTTGAATTGTTGAGATTCCACCTACAAACAAAAAAAATACCATGAGTCTAATTAACAAACACCAGAAAAAAGGCAGGGTATTGATAAAGAGTCTTTAATGCCTAAATTAGAGAGATAGTTTGAGAGAAATTATAATAGAGAGATTTTTTTAGCAGTGAGAGCTAGATCTATTTAGAGATTCCCCTCATCATTTAAAGACTAAAAAAGAATATACTTATCTCTAAAAGAATATTAATTCAATGGGGGTGTCCTTATAATAGTCTTTAAATTTAAGGACTAAACGACTTAAAAATCATTGTTACTTCTACAGACGGTAAAAACAAAAAGCAAAAAGCTATCAGGATCATTGATTTTTCTTGATTTTCGTCAATAAACAAAAGAAAATTCAGTTGGACCATGCATGCAGCTGCACAATAGCACAACAGCACAACAGCAAGAAATCTGCACGTGGGTGGGCCAAGTTTTCCATTCAAAATGCCCCACTGGCACCACCACTTTGGTCTCTATATTGTCCTTATATGTGGGGACTTGCCTCATGTATCCGGTGTCTCCTTACACTTTAGGTACTCAATTTCTGGTGCATTAGAGAACCTTATTTTTCATTTGAACGGTCTATATGGTGGTAAGGACAACTTTAAAGACTAGCATTGGAGATGCTTTAAGTTGGCGATTACCTATTTTCCTGTTGGACTTGGCTATTTACATACCTGAACACTCGCAGGCATCTGGGAAGAGAGGTCACAAACATACTATGTTTTGCTAGTGTGATGCACACCAGTCTCTAAAGGTAGCTCGTAAATAGTCTCAAAAGTCCTTGGTTGCCGGACACCCAAGAAGAAACTCCAAAGAGTCGGTTTCCTACCGTCTTCGTGTCATTTTTCTATTAGACATGATTAATTCATTGCTGCACTAGATCAAACAATTTTACTGATTTGCAGAACAATGGGTTAAGTACCCAAGTTCGAGACGAATCACCATTTTTCGAAGTTCTGTACACACTATTGTGAATTGTCAACATTCTCTAACCCAAACCTTAACTATTTTGTGTACTCTTTGGGACTCGACATAATTCAATATATGCAAGATTAATAGTTTTGAAACTGCATAAATGGTTTTATTTGTAAAGTACGAAAATATGTTTCTATCGGAGTCATCATTCGAATATGGCTCCTTTTCTTCATTTTTGCTTCCTGGGCTTGGTTAACAAAACCTTTTGTACGATTATTTTTCGAGGGACAATTTTGGAAGGAGGGATTCTCTTGCAATTAAGACATAGATTTAGTGGTGTCATTAGTCCAATAGATACTTATCATGTGCTCAAAAATGAATAATTCATTTAATAGATATTTATCATGTGGTATAGCAACAAGAAAGCATGTATCTTTTTTGAGGTTTACTTCACTTTTCCCTCTACCCAAACAATATGAAGCAAATTGACCAAAAAAAGAAAGATAGTGCTACACACATTTTTACTTCTCATATACCCTTTCTCAATTTTTGATCATTGAATCGGATGAATTGAATAACATCAATGGCAAAAAATTAACAAGGTTGTGCGAGAGATAAAAATAAGTGTGTGAATAGCACTATCCAAAAAAAAAAAAAAAAACAATGGGTACACAAATTTTTTATAGGAAAAACTATGAAATCTTACTGAAATACAAAGACATATATAGTACAATAACCCCAGTAATAGGAGGTGTGGATGCAAATTTTGTCCAAGGTTGAGTGGATGAAACTTCACCTACAAAATAATAAATATCAGTAGCCTAATTGACGAACTAGAAAAAAAGAAGAGGATATTTGACAAAGGGCTTCTGATGCCTAAGACAAAGAGATAGTTTGAGAGAAACTAATACATGGAGAACTCTGAGTCAGTAAGAGCATCTCCAATGAGAATCCATATTTAGAGACTCCCCCCACCACCATTTAGAGACTCAAAATGAATATACTTATCCCTAAAAGATTATTAATTCCAATAGGAGTGTCCTTATAGTATAGTCCTTAAATTTAGGGAACAAAAGATTAAAAACTCATTGCTACTTTCACAGCTGTCGATCTAAACAGTATAAAAAAAGCCAAAATGCTATCGAGATCGTTGATTTTTCTTGATTTTCTTCATAAACAAAAGAAAAATCAGTGGGACCATGCATGCAACTGCATAGTAGCACAACAGCGAGGAATCTGCATGTGGGTGGGCCATGTTTTCCTCTCAAAGTGCCCCATTGGCACCGGCACTTTGGTCCCGATATTGTCCTTATATGTGGGGACTTGAATCATATATGGTCTGTCTCTATACTTTAGGGACTCAACTTCTTTATTTCTCATTTATGGGTGAATACGGTGGTGAGGACAAATTTGAGGATTAGCATTGGAGATGCTTTAAGTGGAAATTACCTATTTTCCTGTTGAACTTGGCTATTTATATACCTGAACACTCACAGGCAGCTGGGAATGGAGGCCACAAACATACCCAGTCTCCGCAAATAGCTCGTGAGCAATCTAAAAACTCTCTGGTTGATAACTGCACAATAGGGCCGAAGACCCAAGAGGAGATTCCAAAGAATCCGCTTCCTACCATCTACGAGTCATTTTTCTATTAGATGTGATTAATTCATCCATCCACATAAGTTCCACAAATAAAAGAGCTAGATCAAACAATCTCACTGATTTGGAGAACAACGGGTTAAGTACGCAAGTTCGACACGAACCACCATTTTCCGCGTTATGTACACACAAAGGTACAAACAAAGGTGGTGGAATGTTGGTGGTGGAATGAGGAGGTACAAACAAAGGTGAAGGCTAAGAAGGAATGTTGTAAAGCCTTATACAAGGAG